GCTTGTGGTTTTTACCTTCCTCACTGTGCATGTTTGCTTTGGGGGGATTTTTCTGGCACAGTGTGAAAACACTCCTATGTAATCAGATAACAGTCAAGCTACTTTATTTGAAATGACTCATCAGAGAAAGATTGTTTTGTTCTTCCCAACACCCCCTTTGTTTAGTTCTTCATTAGCCGGTGCTCGATTGCCAGTGGGCCACCAGCTTGCAAGAGCCCCTCTCTCCCAATGTCAGCAAGCCATCCCAGAGCTCGGACAGTCTCTTTCTTCCAATATCTGTCTCTCTGCTCTGAGGACCCCTCATAAGCTCACACTGGGAGCCCCCGGGACCCAGGTCAGGGTCTATGGGAGTGGGGGCTGGGTGGGCACCTGACCCTAGAGCAAACTGGACAGAGCTCGAAGGATCCACACTGCTGACTTGCGTGGGTGTTCGGTTTGCGGGGTTGCTGTGAGCCACGGAGGCTCCGTAGCCATTCCCTGCTGACTTTCATATTCGTTAGTTAAGGACAGGAGAGCATAGAGGAATAATGGTGGGATAGTAACTGATACCAGACTAACTTTTCTAATAGGCACTTTCTGCCTTTGGAGACTCGGCCGTTCTTTTGCTCTCCTCTACCTGGGAGGCCTGCGCGCATCTCATGCTCTCTGGCTTTCATGCCTTTATTAGTATGTTTCCCTGCCCTGCAGCAATGTTCTCTCCCCTTAGTTCATGTCCCCAGGCTCTCCAGCCTTCAAGGGCCGGCAAAAACATCACCTCCGCAGTGAAGCCTCCTGGGTTTTCCCCAGTGCTGGAGAACAGGACTTCTCTTTCCTAACACTGAGAGCATTTCATAGCATTTACCCTTGTTGGTATTTGCAGCCATGACGTATCCATTGTACTCAGTGTGAGCTATGAGGATACTGATCATGTCTTATACGCTGATTATGCCAAGTAAATGTAGCAGGTGTCAGGACACATTCAGTAGCTGTGGGACGGACATTCCCTGTTCTTACTCTGCATTCCACAAAGAGCATTCACGCACAGCCGTGCTCTTGACCCTCCCAACAGTCCCGTGGGAGGAAATCTCGCTTCAGTGAGGGTTTGTCGCTCCTTGCCAAGGTCCCACAGGCAGAAAGGGACGGACCAGGGGAAGATGGGGGTCTTTCACGTCTGTTCCATTGTGCTTCCCCACCGCCCCATCCCTCTGTGCAGCAGGCAGGCCTTCCAGGTAGAGGTGCTGCAGGGCCCGTGAAGAGAACCCTGATGAGTGAGGGGCGAGGTTTAGCCAGCTCTGGGCAAATGCCAGGGCCTTCCCAACCGTCTTGGTATGTTTTGTCTCATGCGGGTTTTCCCCAGGCTGGTTTTCTCTCCTTCTCAGGGGCAGGGAGAAAATGAAAGCAAGCTCTGAGGCTCTGCAGTTGATGGAGTAAAACATCCTGATCAAGAGGGGAATAGAGAGACAGGCCATTGGCGGTGTCCTTAGGTCTAAGGAGGAAAGTGGTTCGTTTTTCCTCTTAGGCTCTCCAAATTTTCTGTGAGCCAGAAACACATTTATCGTGTTTATCGAAAGAAAGATGAACTTTTATAAAAAGCTAGGGAAGGGGCCTGACAGGTAGCTCAGTTGGTTGGAGCATCATCTCGTTCACCAAAAGGCTGTGGGTTTGATGCCTAGGTTGAGCTTGTGGGAGCAACCAATCGCTATTTCTCTCTTTCTCTCTCGCCCTCCTTCCCTCTTCTCTCTCTAAAATCAATACACATATCCTTGGGTGAGGATTTAAAAAAAAAAAAAAAAAAAAAAGCTAGTGCAGGATTTCAAAGTCACAAAGAGTAGCCTCGCCGAATTTAACGAGGAGACGTGCTCTTTCGGCCCCGCGGCCGTGGGCTGTGAGTCCCTCCTGCAGCTGAGCTTGGCAAGCGGGTTCCTGGAACGCAGGGACACAGGCGCTTCTTCTTGTTCTTTCTTCTTTTATAAAAAGCTGACAAGTTATTTTTATGATAGCTCATAAAATAAAGTTTCAGGCCCAAAGAATACATTTAAATAGTTTACAAAATCTAAAGGAAATAATGGAAGTCTCACTTTTCGCCGGCCCTCATTGTTCAAGCTCCTTCCAGAAAATGTTTTAGTACTAGACAGCGGTAAGGTGTACAGAGCCCTTTATATATTTTTAAAAAGATCATGCGACATAGTTTTATCATGCAACATAGTCTTCGACACCTGGCGTTTTTACCTAATAATCTTGGTGGCCTCCCAGTATCAGCGAGAGGTCTATTTTATTCCATTTACTGGTTACCGGTGGTTTACTGAACAGGTATATTAGAATATTACCAATTTCTGGATATTTAGGTTGTTTCTAGTTTTTTTGTTCTGGGTGGGGGAACCCCCCTGCGACATAGATCCCCGCGCAGGTTCCTTGATGTTTTCTGGTGAGAATACCAGTAGGTTGTGTTCACAGCAGACGAGCTGCTGAGTCAGAGCTGTGGTACTTTGTAATTCTGACAGATACGGCTTAACCTTCCAAACAGATGACCCAACTTTACATTTCCCACTGCAGCGTCAAAGCTTTTGCCCCAAACTCTCATCAACATCATTACCATCAATCCCTGTTCTCATACTTAAACTAGCTATAATGAACCATAACCAAAGCCAGTCTTTCTTCTTTGTGTAGCTTCTTTCTTTGGACGTTTGTTCTCTCGGATATTATCTGATTAACATACAGTCTCTTCATGCAATTACAAAGGAGGCAACATACGCCATGGCCACTAGAAATATACATGATATGTTTTCTAACGATGTCCCCCAAACCAATCTTCCTATACCCCAGGCTGTAACAAAATTAAATTGGCTGAGCTGGGATCATCCAGGCTTCACTGGGCAGTTTTTGAAAGAGTGTGACTCAGAAAAGCGCGGGGCAGAGAATGACGCAGTCAGTGGGCCGTGGGCCATTTTGGGAGAGATCCTTGGAGATGAGGTCAATGTCCCCTTCCTCACGAAACGTTCCCCCACTAATTTCAATATCTACTGGTGATTTTCTAATTCCGTTATTCCTTCTGGATTTATTAGTTGATACCGCAACAATTTGTTCTCCTTATTTATTTGTTCATATTTTTCATCAGTGTGGATTCATGGATCCTCATTTAATTGAACGAGCTATAGTTATTGCTATCATTATTTAATTGGATGCTCAGATTGCCTCAGGTTTGGAGAGCGGGGGCCCCATTGAATTGGCTCCTATGTCCTTTTGACAAGTTCTCACGGTCCTTTTGACAAGTCCTCACTTCCTCACTTTCTGGTGCAAAAAGCAGTTCCAGGTTCATCTTGTGGTTTCCATGCCCTGGCTCTGGAGTCAGCCCTTCCTCCGAGGAGTCCTGGTTCCTTCTGGTGCAGAAAAGAATTTAGAAACCAAAATCTGGGCACTAAGTGCCCATTCTGTTGTGGGTCACTGCTTTCAGGGCCTCTCAGCAGACAGAGGCAGGAAACACGTATGTAAAACACAGATCTGTGTACACACGAATTATCCCTCTGTCATCAAATCTAATTTTTAAAGATATGAGTTCGCACTGAGCCCTCAGTCCCCATAGGACAGAGCGAGGCGCTCCGAGAGGCTGCTGGCAGGAAGGAGGGCATTCTGACCCCCTCTTTCTTCCCTGCTAATGGCCAGAGGGAGGGAGGTGTGAAGAAAACCAGGTGTTCATTACTTCCTGCTTTTTCTTCCCTCACTTCTTCACTTTAACCACTTTGGTTGGTGTGGCCCAACTCCAACCCAAGGCAAATGCTCAAAGGGCAGCACGTAAGCTTTGATCTGCGAACGCGCCCACGGCCGGCAGAGCCAACGTGCCGGCAGGCCTCCCTCCCGAGGACCCCTCCAGGAGCTTCGCCCTGCCCTGTCCTCACTGTCTCCCTCTTAACAGGAAACCACTGATCTGCTTTCTGTCCTGACAGATGAGCTTGCATTTTCTAGAATTTTATGTAAGTGGGATTACACAGCGTGTATGGTTGGTCTGGCCTCTTTACTTAGCCCAGTTATTTGAGACCTGCTCATGTTGCTGTGTGTATCGGCAGTTCATCTCTGTTCTACTGTGTGGAGCGCCCCCATTTTACTCGCCCGTGCCCTCTCCTTGACGGACGCCTGGGCTGTTTCCAGCAGTTGGCTGTTACGGATAAAGCCGCTGTGAACGTTTGTAGATCAGTCTTTGTGTGGACACGTGCTTGCATCTTTCTTGGGCAGACACTACAGGCGTAAAAGGAAATGCCCACTCAGGCACTGTCCCCTTCCTTGAATGGAGTCCAACTGTTGTTCCAATGGTCCCTTGGGCTCTGGGTTTTACAGAGATTCAAAACACGTGGAAACCAGGGTGGAGATTGGTTTCAATCCACTCAGAGGCCATGAGCACTAGGGAACTACCTCTTCTTTGGTGAACAAACCCAGGGCTTCCTTTTCCTGATGGAGTCAGGGTTCAGAGAAAGTAAGGCCTGTTATCACTCTCTGAGCTCGCACGCGGAGTGTGCAGGTAGGTGCTGGGTGCTGGGCGCCTCCGGGAGAGGGACCTCAATGCTGGTGGATGCCACCAGCTTTCACGTTCTTGCCACCTGGCTACCCAGAGGCCCCTTCCCTGAGGAGTCTGGACCACAGCATTCCCAAGGCACCTGCTGTCCCGTGATCGGCAGGGTGACGAAATGGGGAGGGGGGAGTTCAGCGAAACAGATGCTGACAGAGAAGTTGAGTCCAGAGAAAACGGGCAAATGGAAAAAGGACATGCTGGAATGTTAAGGCCCCAAAGGGCTCTCAAAGGAAGGGATTCTCTCATTTCTATGAGGACAACCAAGGTGATTTTGAAATCTAGACTGTTTGACTGGACATCGGCATGACGTGGACTCCAACCCTTGCTTGAGATTTTCTTTTTCATGAGAAAAACAGATTTAACATCTAACCTCCACCTTTAGTGTTTATTACAGTTCATTTACAAGGATTCCTTTTTATTTTTGCCCTCTTTCTAGAATCAAGCTTGCATCCAACCCACCATGACACCCACAGAATTCCTGGTGAGTACGGCCACGCTCCTCAGGCTCCTGGGAATACGCTCCGGTCTTGCCTTTTTGGGGGTGTGGGAAACAATCCATCGTAGGGGAAGGATTTCTCTGTGAGGTTTCCTGGGCTAAGATCTCTGCAGAGCAGCGCCCCATAGAGGCGGTCAACACCCAGTGCAGGGGGCTTTGCAAACACGAAGAGCCAGAAGCCCTTGGGGGTATGTTGTGAAGACAGAGGAAAGGTTATTTTAGATCTTATTAATAGATAAGGGTTTTTATGATCTTTAACTAGGGCAATCTTCATTCCATGTGTCTGTTCTGGATACAGACAAAAGGGGGCGAGCGTGAATCCATTTACTTTGTTTTTTACAAGACCCCTGGTGGGCACATTGATCGTTATTTCTCACATAACATGATGTAGGTTTTCACAAAGCCACACAATGGGATATATTTCTCAGAAAGAGACAAAGAGGCTAACAAAAATTAGTAAGTCATTAACCAGAGAGTCATTTATGATTTTCTAGCCAAATGTCATCAGTTATAGAATCAAATTGAATTCTCATGCTTTTGTTATATTCATAAACATCTTGCAAAAAAATACCTAAAGGCTTTAATTTTGCTTTTCTCAAAGGGAAAGCCTGGGCCTTGCAGGTAGATAAGTGAAGTCAAGCCTTGTTCGTGCAGGTAACTAACTGGCCTCAGGGGGCACCGTAGGTTTCCCAGCCTGTGGTTTACAGAGCTGAGCTGCGGTGGGTTGTAATCACCCACGTCAGATAAGCCATTTATGATGTGCTAATGATGCTTAGCAATGCGTATGTGTCATCAAGTATTTGTAACAGTAGAAAAAGGTGATTAACTTGGACCTGGTGAAGTAATGAGGTATGTCTCCATTTTTCTCACCAGAATTAGACCCTTTAGCCTCTCCTCTCATTAGAATTTGCCGTTCTTCCTGACGCAGTAGAAGCAGAGCTAAGGTGGGGCTGCTAGAGGGACTGTCATCCGGTTTTCTCATTTGGGATCTTGGAAAGTATCCAAACTTAGCAAGTGAGCCCCAGACTGGAATAAAATACACACTGATGTGATCAGATGTGTCCGGCGTCACCTAAATGGGGACCACTCTGGCCCCAACACCCAGGTTCACTGGGGTTGGGGAGCCGCCATGATGTCCTTGTGGCCACATCGGTCACCACCCAGGACACTGCAGTCCTTCCGCCTCAGAGGAGAGGCAGAGCCCTGTTTACAGATGTGGGACCGAAGCTGAGAGGGTAAACGGAGGGTTCAAGGTCTCACGGAGAATGGGAGGAGGAGCCCTGGAGGGGGCACCCTCTGCTGCCCTGGGTTGCTCCCTGTGGGCAAATGCCATCTCCCTGCTTGGCCGTCTGTCTTCCGGGGGTGTGGGGACAGCACCCCTGGCAGTGATGCCCGCCAACTTCCACTGCTGGCAACGAAGTCCTGTCCCCTGCTTCCATCTCCTCCCCATCATCTCACCTTCCCACCCAGACACCCATCTTGGTGCTAAGAGACAACGGGGGACAGAGCCTGGAAGGACACAGTCTTTGCCCTCCATCCAGAGAGAACGAATCAGCAGGGGAGGCCTCCCCCTGACCCCTGCAGTGCCTGCACAGCCCTTGGCGCTGGATCCTGGGGGGGGGGAGGACACACCTGGGGGAGGGGGAGGGAGGTGGCACCTGTGGTGAGCGCCTCGCGGGACCCAGGCAGGCCCCTCACCCTCCCTGAGCCCTGAGGTCAGCCCCAGCCAAAGGCAGCCCCCTGCTGCTTTTGGCCCAGCGGAGCCTCCGGAGGACCTGTGGTGCTAGGGAGGTGGTGGCCGGGTGGGGGTGGGGGCTCAGATTTGTCCTGGCCATTTTGATATCAGAATGCAGAGAGCAAGGCTTTGGATCAGGAGGGATTAAAAGTGCCCCAGTTTGGGACGGAGGGGGCTGCGGGGCTGCCTCTGGCCTTGACCCTCCCCTGGGGGCTGGGGGCTGAGGGCAGAACATGCCATTTCTCTGGTCTGTCTCCTCTGAGGTGAAGGGGTCAGACTCCGCAGCCTCTAAGATCCTCAAATCACTCCTAGACCTGCTGAGGTTTCAAAGGGCTTTTCCAGAGTAGAAACGGACACCGGTGGGAGAAGAAGGCAGCGCCGCTGCTGAGTCCGGTGCTGGCTGCTGAGAATGCTGCGCGCACTCTCCCGTGTACCCAGATGTGTGGCTGTGGCGCCCTTTCTCTTCTTGATCGAAGTGCTAAAGTTCATCTGAAATAAATGATATAAATCCCTAAATTAGGAGCCCCTTGGGGGCAACCTAACTGTCCCCAAAGGGACATGTCGGGGCTGTGGAGCTGCTGCCAGAGCCCTGTACGCAGGCAAACCCGCCCCCACCCCCTCACCCCGGCCCACCCGCGGGCCTGCCCTGGAGCTGTGGAGGCTTCCAATGCCTCTCCATTTCATCATTGAGTTGAATGGTGTTCTTTGGATAGCGCGTCCTTGCCTAGGATGTAGACGGTGCTCCGGAAGTATCTGTTGAATGAGCGAACAGATTACATTACTTACTGCCCATGAACGAGACATAAAGAGCTAACGGTCCCCAAGCCTGGGGTGACCTGCCACTTTCTCAGTCCCATTTTCCTACAAAACGCCGTCCAGGTCTGGGCCCCTCCCACCCCCATGAATCACCTCTCCTCACAGCAGAAGAACCAAAAACGAGCTTGGACACCAGCTAGTCAGGGCAACAGGTCGCAGAAGAGGTCTAGCTTTGGTAAATACCTCATTTTTTTAAGAGGGGCTGAGAATGACATAGTTTGCTAAGAGATACAGGAAGAGAAACCTTTGGTAAGAGTATTTCTAGACATTTTAATAAGATGCAAAAGGGAACTGGTCAGCCCCTTCTAAGAGCAGGGCTGGGGCACTTCCTATGACCAAGGGCCCTCTCTCTCAGGCCGTCCCCGCCTGCTCCGTGTTCCGTAACAGCTTCGGGCATTTACAAAAAGACATACCTCAGAATGGGGGGAGGAAGAACGTAAACTAAAACAGGGTCAGAAGCCGTGGATCGAACAGGTAGAAAAGACCAAGAGGGGGTTGACTTGGGTTTCCAGCCTGGCAGCCACAGGAAATGTGGCTGCTCCTGCTGAGAGGTCCTGTGAGTGTAACATATACTTGGGCTGAAAACAGTGCCCCCAAAAGGATGTAAAATATCTCAGTAAGCTTTATATTGCTGATATAGTGAGATGGTCGTATTTTAGATATACTGGTTTTCAATAAAATACATTAAAACGAATCCCCCTGTTTCTTTTTACTTTAATGTGGCTACTAGAAAATGCGGGCTTAACCTGCGGTTTGCCTTAAGTTTTTATCGGACTGTGGCAGCCTAAAGGATCTTGCGTGGTTACTGCAACTGAGCTATGAGTTTGGCTTAGCTTCCCAATTAAAAGAGAATCCTGAACAGTCGTAAAATTCCTATGTTTCATGAGAATAAAAACCCTCACATGTTCTTCAGGAGCTACGAAGCCTTTCTTCACAGCTCTTTTGTATTTAAATGCCCAGTAAATGTCCAGAGTAGATCTTAGTGAGCAGGACACAGAGCAAACGACCAAGCCCCTAGAGGGCCCCCTCCTCATGGAGAGAGTGGGCTTCACGGGGCGTTCCTTCAATCCCACCCTGATGCAGACCCTGGGAGTAAAGTTAGGGCAGCTGGTGGGAAATCATTCTAGAAGGTTCTGCCATGTGCTCTTGGATGGAATGTGGGGTAAAAATGTGTGGATTTCAGGCCTTTCCACTAATCCTCTCTCAAGATCCCTGTCTGACTGACTCAGGCTTTGAGAGCAGTGTCTACAGGTTGCTTCTCCAGCAAGAAGTGTCTCTAACGCACAGCTCAGAACAGGGAGGATGGAATAATGACTTTGCTCAGAATTCCTCATGGGAGCCTGGAGTCCCTCATCGAAAGAGAGGCCTGACCCTACCTGGAAGCTTCAGGATAAAATATAAGCACGGCTGTGCTCAGCACTGGGTCTGACAAGCACTAGGTGCTCCAATGATAGTGAATAAATATGTTCGTAAATATTGACATTGACTTTTGCTAAGAGATTTTCAAAGAATCCTGTGTCAGTTATACAAAGGATATCTACCTATCAGGCATGTATGCCGCTATCAGTGTTGTCCTGAGAAGGCAGGACACCTTTGTTCAGGATTCCCCAGGTTGGGTCGTGAATACTCGTTCTGTTATGCTCATAAAGATGGCCAAAGCTTTGGACTTGGAAGGATGATTTAGGCTTACCTCCACAACAAATACGGTCTTGACAAAATGTCTACAAATCCAGGAACGTGTGTGTGTGTGTGTGTGTGTGTGTGTGTGTGTGTGTGAATTGAATCACTTTTAAAATATACCTGAACTGAATCAGCCATTTGGAAGATAAGAAAGCAGGAAACACCCAATCAGAACAGCAAAAAGAAAAAAAATCCAAAAAAATGAGGATAGTTTAAGGGGCCTCTGGGACAACATCAAGTGTACCAACACAGGAATACCAGGAGGAGAAGAGAGAGAGCAAGGAATTGAAAACCTACTTGAAGCAATAATGACAAAAATTCTCTAAGCTGGTGAAGGAAAGAGACATAGAAGTCCAGGAAGCACAGAGAGTCCCAAACAAGATGAACCCAAAGAGGCCCACTCTAAGACACACCATACTTAAAATGCAAAAAGTTAAAGACAAAGAGAGAATCTTAAAAGCAGCAAGAGAAAAGCAGTTAGTTACCTACAAGAGAGCTCCCATAAGACTCTCAGCTGATTATTCAACAGAAATTTTGCAGGCCAGAAGGGATTGGCACAAAATATTCAAAGTGATGAAGGCAATGACCTACAACAAAAGGTACTCTACCCCGCAAAGCTATCGTTTAGAATAGAAGAAAAGATAAAGAGCTTCCCGGACAAGAAAAAGCTAAAGGAGTTCATCACTACCAAACCAGTACTACAAGAAATGTTAAAGAAACTTAGGAGGAGGAGGAGGAGAGGAAGAAGAGGAAGAAGAAGGAGGAGGAGAGGAGGAGGAGGAAGGAGGGGAGGAGGAGGGGAAGAAGAAATACGAATATTGAAATGACAACAACTACATATCTTTCAGCAATTACTTTAAATGTAAATTGATTACATGTTCCAATCAAAACACATAAAGTGGCTGAACAGACAACAAAAAAGACCCTTATATTTGCTGTCTACAAGAAGCTTGCTTTAGACTGAAAGACACACACAAGCTCAAAGTAAAGGGCTGGGAAAAGATATTTCATGAAAATGTAAACTAACAAACAAACAAACAGAAAAAATACTTATACCAGACAAAATAGACTTTAAAACAAAGGCTATAATAAGAGACAAAGAAAAGCCCAGCAATTCCACTTCTGGGTATTTATCCAAAATAACCTAAAACCCTAATTCAAAAACACATATGCACTGATATGTTCATTGCAGCAGCATTTACAATTTCCAAGACAGGGAAGCAACCTAGGTGTTCCTCGATAGAGGACAGATTAAGAAAAAGTGGTGCATCTGTACAGTGGTATGTGCTCAGCCATAGAGAAGAAGGAAGCTTTGCCATCTGTGACAACACGGGCGGACCCGCAGGGAGGGCCTTGTGCTTGCCGAGTGAAATAAATCAGAGAAAGACAAACGCCGTATGACTTCGCTTATACGTGGAATCTAAAAAAAGTGAACAAAACAGAAACTTATAGGTGCAGGAAACACTTTGACGGTTGCCAAATGGGAGGGGTGTTGGGGAGCAGGGTGACAAGGGGAAGGGATTAAGAATTACAAGTTGGGAGTTAGAGTCGTGGTGAAGTAACGGGCAACAAAAGGAATATAGTCAGTAAAATTGTAATAACTATGTATGGTGTCAGACGGGGACTGCATTTATCGGCGTGCTCATTTTGAAAGTCACATAAATGTCTAATCACTACATTATATACCTAGAACTACTATAATATTGTATGTCAATTATAATTGAGAAATAAAAAATTATTAAAGGAAAAAAATGCACTTAGGGAGTCCCTAACTCAATATAGTTCTGTGCTGAAGCACTGGGTCCTCCAACCCTCACCCAAGAAGAAAACGCACCACTTGTGCCGCAAGCAGGATGCAGGGTCCTCACTCCAGGACTCCCCTGGGGAGCGGCAGTCACAGGCCCCTCGCTGGGCAGCAGAGGATGCTAAGTCTCCTGGGGCACTGGGGCTGCTTGAAGTCCCCTCAGAGAGACCCTCTGGGCTGCACCTGGCAGTGGGGATGCCGTTTGCCTCCCTACCTTCCAGCCTGGGCTCAGGCTCCTGTGAGAGTCTATTCAAGCTATGTAACCTCAAAAGTGTAAAATCAAAACAAAAAATCCTCTAAGAAAACAGTTTCAAGTCTCATCGTGTGGATTCGCCGTTGACACCTGCTTGTTTGCATGGTTTTACTGCCGTTCCTCTGAAATGTCATCTTCCCCAAATCTTCGCTAAAGTATGCGTTACCCATGAGGTCCGTCCTCCCAAGAGACTGGCTTTCCAGATAGCAAGGGAAGTGTTTACAGGTAAACCGAGGATGGATTGGTCAGGCCTGGGGACAAGGCACATGGAAAATGGGGACAGGTGGTTCCATCAGCGCCTCCCGCGGCGGCCTTTTCTGGCTGCCCCATCCTGCTGAGCCATCTCCTGGATCCAGTCTCCCGGGGTCTCCCTCTTTGCACTGGGACTTTGTCTTGGTCACACTGGAGATGGGGTCAGGACGAGACTCCAGGTTTTCCTAGTCGTAGTCCAAGTGACCATGGGTGTCCTCCCTGGAATCCTCCTGGTACTTCCTGCCAGCCAGGCCCCGAGTAGAACGGACGTGTCCCATGAGCTCTTGGTGCGAGCTCCAGAAGCCAGGAGACAACCACCTCCTGACATCTACTGCCCTTTATCAGTCGGCTCGGTGCGTCCTGCTACCTTGGTGAGCGCGCAAAAATCAGCCCCTGGGTTCCATGCTCGACTAGCTTTAGGAGGCGCTGTTGTGCAAAATTCAGCAGATCTGAAGGACTTCGCAGAAACCGCACAGTCTAACGTGCAGTTCTAATAAAACAAGTTCTGCAGGACCTTTCAGAGCCTTTAATACGCTCGTGAGTATTGTGAAGGTCAAAGAAGGTGATATAATATGCAGAGATTCTCAACCATTAAACCATTAGTGTTCCACCCAAACACAGTTTGGGAAATGCTGATCGAAACTACTAGAAAGAGATGGAAATTACGATGCATGTAGACAGGGAGACCACAGCTAACAGGAGTCTGGCAGGGGGGATTTTATTATTTCACTGAGTAGTTAAATATGTAAACTAAATAGTTATACTTAAATATTTACTATTGGAAACAAAATAAAAATCTATTGTGGATTTGAGGCTACTTCTGGTCCAAGTGCATCCAGGTGAATTGAACAACTGTTGGAGTTGTCTGAATCGAAATAAAGGTAGAGATGCAGTTTGGCAAGGAGCCCGCCTTGGGGCAAGGGAGCTGGAGCTATGGCTCCTGGGGGAATTTGGGAGCCTCACTGGGAGCCCTGCGGCGGGTGCTGGCAGGAAGTGAGAGTGTTTGAGGTTCTGGAATGTGGCAGATGTGGGGTTGCGTCCCTCCTCCATCCCCACAGCTCTCTCCTCCCCCCTTCCTCCAGACTCGAGGGCTCATGTCTCGGGGTTCTGTTCACCAGCCCTTGTTTCCACTTCCCTTAGCAGGTGTTCTAGGCTGGCACTGGGCCAGGAACCCACCGAAACTGAAATGTGGGGGTGTGTGTGCACATAGACACTAGTTGTATGCATATCTGCGTGCATTGTGGGGGCTCAACAGTATGCACATATACGTGTGTGAATATGTGCATGTACATATGTGTGTGAGCATGAGTGCAGGCATATCTGTGCACATATGAGTGTATGTGTGAATCTGTGCACGAATTGTGCATGCTTGTATGCGTGCGTGCCCATGAGGGCCAGCTCCATGGGCGTCTGTCCAGCACAGATGCCCAGGGTCCTGTACTTAGAAGTGCCGCTTGCTTGATTTAATGCTCTGCTGTCTTGGGATTCTGGACAAATTTTGAGCAAGAAACCCTGAAAATTCTATAGCCTGACCTGGTGCTGGTGTATGTGCATGTATGTGAGAGTGTATAAACGTGCGCGTGCGCGTGCGTCTGTGCATGTGTGTGCGTCGGTGCTTCTGGAGCAGAGGATCCACCGCTTTCAGGAGACTCAGAGGGAGCTGGACCTAGAAAACGGGAAAAGTTTAAGAGCGTCTGAGGACGTTCCAGGATAGGATGCGTTAGAGAAGAGGGGGGACAATCAGAATTGTTCACAGGGTTGGGTGAAAGTCCGTGCGCACCAGTAGTCCCAAGGGGCCCTGCCCCGTCAGGGCGCCTGTCAGTGTCCTTGCAAGGCTCGCTCCTTGCATGTACCCTCCACAGGCAGGCAAGTTCCATGACAGCAGGAACCACGTCTGATTTATCCGCCAACTGTTTCTCCAACACATACAGAGTATATGACATATTGAGAGTGCTCAATAAATATTTGTTGAACAAATAGATCTGTTATGATCCATGCAGATGCTCTCAGAATCCCTACTTTCTACATATACATGTCTTTTTCCTTATCATAGATTTTAGGGATTGGAAAGGTCAAGTGGTCCATGCTTCGGCCGACAGACAGGACCTACAAAACACTGTCCTTGATCTTATGCTGTCTGGTGTTTCCTTGCAGGACCTTGTCCCTAATATGCCTGATGATTACATCTATGACTCCACAGATGACTATATGGCCTTAAACTTCACAAACTTCTTCTGTAAGAAAAACAATGTCAGGCAGTTTGCGAGCCACTTCCTCCCACCCTTGTACTGGCTCGTATTCCTCGTGGGTACCGTGGGCAACAGCCTGGTCATCCTTGTCTACTGGTACTGCACACGAGTGAAGACCATGACTGACATGTTCCTGTTGAACCTGGCCATCGCCGACCTTCTCTTCCTGGTCACTCTTCCCTTCTGGGCCGTCGCCGCTGCTGACCAGTGGAAATTCCAGACCTTCATGTGCAAAGTGGTCAACAGCACGTACAAGATGAACTTCTACAGCTGCGTGCTGCTCATCATGTGCATCAGCGTGGACAGGTACATCGCCATCGCTCAGGCGACAAGAGCACAGATGTGGCGGCAGAAGAGGCTTCTGTACAGCAAGGCGGTTTGCATTACCGTCTGGGTGACGGCGGCCGCGCTCTGCACCCCGGAAATCCTGTACAGCCAAACCAGGGAGGAAGGCGACATGACATACTGCACCATGATTTACCCCCACAACAACAGTGCCAAAGTGAAGTCGGTGGTCTTGATCCTGAAGGTGATCCTGGGGTTCTTCCTTCCCTTTGTGGTCATGGCTTCCTGCTACACCCTCATCATCCACACTCTGATCCAAGCCAAGAAGTCGTCCAAGCACAAGGCCCTAAAGGTGACCATCACTGTCCTTACTGTCTTCTTCATATCCCAGCTCCCCTACAACAGTGTCCTGCTGGTGCAGACCATCAACATCCACACCAAGTTCATCTGGGACTGCGCCATCTCCAACAACATTGACGTCTGCCTCCAGGTCACTCAGACCATTGCCTTTTTCCACAGTTGCCTGAATCCTGTTCTCTATGTTTTTGTGGGTGAGAGATTCCGCCACGATCTCCTGAAAACCCTGAAGAACCTGGGCTGCAGCATCCAGGCCCAGGGGATCTCCTGTAAGAGAAGAGAGGGTAGCGTGAAGCTGTCCTCGGTGTTGCTGGAGACCACCTCGGGGGCTCTCTCCCTCTGAGGGACCTTCTGGCCGAGGTGGCTGGTCCTTTGGGAAGTATAACAATAAATGCAGACATGGCTTCCCCACTGATGGCACCAGAGAGAAACCAAGGAAGAAAAAGGAAATGAGAACGAGAAAACTCGGAAAGGAATGAATTGGAAAATGATTACTCCGAGTCAGAATTTGCCAAGGCAGAGTTTTCAAAATTGACCGGCCATCCCAGGAGACTCTTGACTGGCCCCTGGCCACGCCGCCTGCCGTTTTCAAAGGCGAACTGGCGGACGGCACAGCACGCAGGCCACTCCGCGGTGCGTCTGCCCTCTGGAGGCGGCGTCCGAGTTCCTCTGCACCCTGCGGTTTCAGTCCCGAGGCCACCCCTTCCGAAGGAGACACAGAAGCCGCGGCCATTGTACATAGTCCCCAAGAGCTCAGGGTTTCCTGAAAACTGCCAGCTTCAGGGAGCTTCTGCCCTGGTTTTGAGGCCGATCCCTATGAGGTCTTACAGATTAATCTAGAATCTTCGCAAACAACTTCAGATCTAATATCCCCCTGGTCTCCTTGATCTGTTCTGGGCCAGGGAGAGTCCTTGTTCCTGTTTTGAAACTATCTGGAGGACCGGTCAGTGAGTCCCTGGGCCACTGATCGTAACAGCGGGGCATCTGGAATCCGTTGGCTTCCCCTTGCTCCCCCGCCTCCCCACATTTCTGAGTCCTGCCGGAGGCTCTGTGGCGTGACATCCGCCTGCAGGCGTGACGTGGGTGAGCGTTTCACTTGCCCACTGCTGTCGTGAAAGGTGGTCTCCTCAGCCTGCGCAGGGACACTGGGAACCTGAGTTTGCAGTACTGGCCTGGCTTCGCCGTGGGCTCGCTCTGCCGAGTGGCCTCGGCGATGACCCACTCCGTCCCTTTTAAAATGGGTTCGTCCCTCAGCCCCCCCCCCCCCGCTGCGGATTCGCCTCCATGCTCCTCCCCTCTCACTGTCCAGCGCCAGCAGGTCCACAAGCTTTCAACTTAGAGCTTAGGCTGAAAACAAGGTAATGCCATTCTTTTTTCTTTGTATCTTTTTTTTTAAAGCTATTTGGCAAACGCATCACATTTGAAAACATCTTATATATTAGAAAAGTGCTTAAAATTTTTACAGTATACTTTTAATTACAGTGGACATACAATATTATGTTAGTTTTAGGTAAACTGGAAAAGTTTTTTGTAATGTACATTAAGAATATCCATTGCCAATCACTTTCTTCACCCTGTGTGTGCAGTGCAGATTAAATAGCCACATGAAGAGTATGAAGGGTAAGAGATTGAGATAAGGAAATAAAAAATCTCCAACATACCTGGGAACCACCTTGGCTGACACATTTTTCTGTCTCCTCTGGTCAAACTTACTTCCCAAGTTTTCCCTGGCGAGTCCGGTGCCATTTCCAACGTAAACCACCAGCTTTGCCACGTGCCCAGACGGAGCATCTGATTTTCCTTTCCGGACCGAGAACCCCGAGGCTGGTGCCCCCCTCTGGCCTATCCGTGGGTTTGCCAGCAAGCGGCGCACACGGCAGCTCCTCGGGTGACTTCTGGACAAGCGGCTTTGGGAGTGTTCCTGACCTGGCGTACGTGCCAGACACTGTCGGCCCACACTCAGTGCTTTGCATGTTGTAGACACAGTATGTTGAATGAATAAATGTGTTAAAATTTAAAATTAAATCATTTTGTCAAATTTGTACTTCAGGTATCAGAAATCAGCTACCAGAAAAGTTTATTACTACCGTGGGGCAGTAATGCCGTCCCGTTGCTACAGGCAGCTGGGGGGAGCGGCTACCCAGGGAGGGCTGGCTCGAGTGGGCTGGCCACGGCCTGGGGAGGGGCTCAGACGGCTGCCGGCCGCCCCCTGTGGGACAGGTGCGTGGTTACAACCCCCTCCATTGGCACACAGTGGTTGATAAAAATAGCCCTGCATGAGGAAGCAACCAGCCCCCGCGAGCACCTGCCATTGTGACCTGGTCGCCTGTCACTGGAGGCCATCGCCACCGCAGGTGGTGGTTACACATGGTGTTTCCATGATGGGCTTAAATGCCCAGCAGAGGCTGCTGTGGAGGATGAGCGCTCTGGACACTTCCAGTGACTTTCAGAGTCAGTGAATGAAGAGCTGCCACACGTTCCGTGCGTGTGACCTCTGAGCGGGTGTGCTTGGTTTTCCAAATCTGAGCTGGCCTCCTATGCTGGAGCTTACCACAGAGTCAAGGTCAGAGCCCAGGCAAAGTCGTCGTCTGTCCCGTCCTGGCCTGGCAATTCCTGGTTTACAGGAGGCTTAAAAAGGTCATTGGATAATGTGTGGTCCAGTGGGAGGAGAATTGTTTCCAGACAGTCGCACACACAGCCATGAGCTTCAGGAACAGCATATTCTCCAAATGGCTCAGCCTTGCCGCTCCCTGTGCCTCGGTTTCCTCATCTGCAACAGCTGGCTGACCTATGGCAGGAGCCTGTGAGTTATACAAGCTACGATTGCCATTTGTAACCAGTGCTGCCCCAATCCTTCTCTAGTCTTCCCTCCAAGCCAATGATCCTTTTTGTGTGTATGTCTCGCGTCCCTTTTGGCAACCTGACAAAGCCTGTAGCTTCTATCTCAGAATGTTTTAAAATGAATAAAATAGGTCGGATTTCAAAGGGAGCCAATTATATTGAAATATAACCCCCTAAATATTAAAACACATTTACGAACTAGTACCACAGGGTCCTCTTTGTTGGCGCATTAAATGAAATCTACCAGCAGGTGTAATGCCAACCTTCCTTTCTGAGTGGAGATGAGCTTAACTGATATTGGAGAGTCTTCTACAGCTTTCGTATAACATGAAAACATCTGTCACTTCCACTGGTGACAAAGTCACAGGTCTTGCTAATGTTGTCTACATTCCTAACTGAGAGGAGACCTGAATTTTAGTTAGAAGTTAGGGGAAAGATGCCATCCCCCCAGGCACACTCAGAGCCGCGCAATTCTGTGGATGGACCAGCTTAGGAGCCCACGTCTAACCTGACATCCCCCAACCTACACCCATGGGCATCAAAGTCATATTTCTTCCTCTGATTCTTAAATTTTGGGCATGAATGGAACAATTTTGGGTTCGTGGAAAGGGACTTTTTCCATTGACAAGCAATCTGCCAGGTGGCAACATGCCCCTTGAATATAAATACCAGCCATTAAAACAAAATGTGGTTGCAGAGAGACTTTACCTGCAGAACAGTTTCCCACCCGCCATCCGGTTAGAAAGGTCTCTGAGAACGGAGTTTCCGCCGTTACATCCCAGCGGTTCTAAGACTTCGCGGTCGCTGGTAGAGTTAAATTAGGAAAAAGATCCATTAGCTCATGTTCCCCTCTGTCCTCAAGTTTTAACCAAAGCGGTGACACAGCAGCTGCCCTCGAGGCCCTTCTCGCCGTGTCCACAGGTCGCCTCTGCCAGGATCACCTGGTGGGCTTGCAGAAGGGCCAGAGCTGCGGAGCCAGGCGTGACATGGGCGGCGCCATGAATCTGCACTGTCATAGGCCCCCACGTAGCCAGAAGGAGAGAACTGTCTTTTAAGACACTCTTTGGTACAGGCTTTATGTTTCCCGACACTAAATGAACAGCTTGACTCTGGAGTGAAACTGAGCCCTGGGTCTGTCTTGGGTTTTTCCTGACATCGGTGGCCTGACGTCTGCACCCTCTGTCACTCAGGAGGCTCCGGGCCGACCTGAGATGGACCCTCTGTCCCGATCCCACATCTACATCTCCGGGTAGGAAGGTACGGCTGTCTTCCTGAAAACGCCCAACTGCTCAGTGGGGGTCCTTGCTGCGGAGAGGGCTGTCCTTACAAAGACTTTTGGTTCCACAAACGGACCCCGTCTCTTGTCCCAAGGCGTCTCGGGAGGAATGTCAGTGCTGCTGCTTCCCAGTGCCTTTCTGTGAAAGGGCGCAAGGCCTCGAAGCCACGTCAGCGTCGGTGCAACACGCCGGGCTGTCTTGTGCATGCCTGCAATCACTGCCTTTGCTGTTCGGTAAACGGTCCAGGTCACGAAGCCGCTGACGTGCTGCCTCCACTGAATGGGGTGGTCGGCTTGGGCCCCGCCAGCTCTGCCCTTCCCCACTGCTCCTTTCTGCCACTGAGTTGGGCCACTTCTGCTAACCTAGCCTGCAGTCCAGCCCCGCAGGAAGCCTTGGGGAGGGCCCTTCCTGCCTACCTCTCTTTCTGCACCCCTTCCTTGCTCTCCCATCCTTATAGCTCACCCCCTCCCTCTCCCTTACCCGCCAGGGAGAAGACCGCGCCTACCCCACTGACCTGGCCGGCAGAGGTTCAGGCCGTGGCTTCCTTCTCTCTCATGGCCCAGCCTGGCCCCTTGGGAGCAGGAAGCCGGGGAGGCACTCCTGAAATCTCCATGTCTCTCATGAGTCCATGGAGCCACGGGCCCAAAGCCCAACCGGGTCAGGAAATGAGGCCTTCTTTTCAGAAAGGGCCCTCACGCATCTTAGGTCCGGGGGCCTGTCTCACTCGGCTCCCTTTTTAGCCAAGAGGCCATTCATTCCAGGCTCCAGAGGGGGCCGCCCGCCCTGCGATAACCTCAGTGCACAGGACTGAAGGTGGGAGGAAACCACAGTTTCGGGCCTCCCACAGAGATGGGGGGGACACACACATCAAAGGCCAGAGTGGGGAGTGGCACTTCTGCTCAGCTTCGCCATCTTTCTTCAGAAGCCAGTGGGGCGTGGGAAAAGTAAAAGGCTAGACTTTCTTTCAACCCTAATCCACTGTGAGCGGCTTTCATAATAGCTGTGCCTGCCCCCTGGTTTTTTTTTTGTTTTTTTTTTGTATCACTTTAGCTTCAGCTGTTCCCTCCAAAAAAGTCCGCTTTCTCATCTCCGGCAAACTGGTCTCACCAACTATTTGCTTTTCAGATGTGTGGGTGGTGAGCTCCCTCACTGGATTTCTCCCACGCATCTTCAGACTGAAAAGGCTGACCTTGCTGAGAGCGTCCTTCTGAGTCACCAGGGGGACCGCTACATCCTCCGGCCCCAAGGGCTGATGTGGCCGGAGGACGCGCGGTCCCTGCCGTGCCATGGTGCGGGCGGCACAGCGTCGGGCCAGGAGCCGGGATGGACCACGGGGCTTGGGGAAGCCGGAACGGACCCCGGCACCTCCGCTGCTCAGCGGTTTAGCAGGCGGGGAGGCATGACGGGGATTCTGACCCGGAGGCCCCCGGATCACAGCCCCAGATACCGCACGCACATCTGTGTCTTCCAGCTCCTTGACTGCAAAGCCACTAAGTCCCTGGAGCGGCTGTTCTATTAGCCAAGAAACGCTTCTCTGGGCTGTTTTGGGCATTGGGTGAACCAATCTTCGGTTACTTCTAGCTGGTCGCTGGACAGTGCCAGGTTTGGTTTGAGGGCGTCATTAATTAGGGTGCAGGGGGAGGAGCCCGAGAGTGCTCAGCTCACCCCTATGCTCCTCAGGCCTCCTGCAGCCTCGCCCTTGGTCTTTCTCTGCCACCGGAGTTCCAGGAGCTTCTGTCTCTGGCCAAGTTGGCCAGCGGGGCTGCGGAGGGCCTCTAGCTGACAGAGGCATTGGTACCGACCCATGTCCTTAAGGAGTCAGCCACTGTGGATCAGTCTCCTGGCTGGCACAGTGCTCGATGCTCAGAGGGCGAGGGAAAGGAGGGAGATGGAGAAGAACGAAGCCAGGGAGAACATGGATGCAGACAGGGTAACTTATTCCTGAATTACTGATGAAAGAAGAGGCTGCACGAAGATCTGGGGGTACTGCAGGAGGGAGGTGGAGGGGAGGGGTGGGGAGGTGTTCTGCGAGGCACAGGGAACTCAGGGAAGGTGCTCCGGCACCCCCGGATGCGGAGTCCAAGGTGTGACAGACTGCCCGGCCTGACCTCAGTCTGACTGGTCCAGGAGTGACTGGGTGTGCCACTCCGGCCTGACCCAGCGAGAGCCCTGTGTGTCAGCACGGGGAGCCTGGGCTCCTCCCTCTCCGGCTGCCCGGGCTGGTGGTCTCGCCCAGCTTTGTACCACAAGGGGACTAATTGTGGGTTCAGGCCATCTGCAACCTTCTCCCCAACCTCACTACTCTAGTAAATCATAAGTTTGCTTTTTGCTCACAGTGCTCTTTGAGCACCACAGAAGGGCTGGGGACATTGGGGCTGAGGACAGCTCACTTGGTGGAGGGCGGTGGGTTGGCACAGCGTGCTGGCTTGGACGGGTCAGAACACCCGCCTCAGAGTGGGGCAGCGAGTACCCAGATGGCAGGCCAGGCGGCGATGGCTCAGCACGTCTGCTGGCTCCCTCCAGCCCTCTGCGTCCCTGGAGGGCAGCTCAGCTCCGACTCTGGTCTGGGCAACTTCACTCGCGCCTTATGCTCCCACGGAAAGAAAGATGACCCCACTCTCAATGTCATAGTGTTTATTTAAATCCTGAGGTTAAAAATACATTTCCAAATGGTGCAGCAGATGCTATAAAGAAATGTTTTGGGATACAGGTTTTCACCTCCACCGGGCAGGTGGGGTGTTGGCGTTTGATGTGCTTCTGGGTCATTCTTTGGCAGATAAGGATGGACTGGGGTCCCAGACCCACTATCCCATAAGGCCGCGAGAAGTGAGGACTAGTCAGTTCAAGTGCAATTCCGATAGGAAGCTGTGCAGGGCAGGCCTGGCTGCTGCAGCCACCAGAGGCAGGGGTGTCTCTGGATGGCTCATCAGAAGGTTCTACGTAAGCCTTTTTTCTTTTTTTTAAATCAGAAATGTCTCCCAAAATTCAAAGATCTACTTCATTATTTTAAAAAAGTGATTAAGAGGAAAAGCTCTATTCAGCCTTTCCCATCTCCTTGAAAGAATCACAGTGAAATGAGAAAAATTCACCCAAGTTTCCACTAAAAAGTGCTTTTTGCCTGCTCTGTCGTGGCGGATGGCTGCCTCCACAGTCCCTGCGAAGGGCGAGCCCAGGCTCCACGCGCCACCAATGGCTTCTCTGTGCTTTGACTCTCAACACCCCTGAGCCAAGGATGGGACTCTCACTCAATGAAACTGCTCTAAAATTTACAGGAGAGGACATCTAGCCAGTACCGTGAGATACAGTACTCTACGTCTTCATCCCCAAACGGGGGACTTCCTTTCATGCGAGTCTAGAATGGCTTTGCCATCTTAGGTGGGTGACAAATGTCCAGAAAAACCACCCCCTTTATTTTTGAATTATATTACGTGGCTTTGTATTTCTACTTTCCAACCCCGCGGGGCTTTTCACGTCCAGAATCCTGCCTGGGAACGGCGTCCGCTCCTGGCCCAGTCGGCCCGCTGTCCGGAGAGCTCTGCAGAGGCCGTGCTCCACCCCACACACACTTCCTTGCGGGTGAGTGGGCCTGACAGAGGCCACGCCCCAACTGAAGTTTAGTGGCTTCTGAGGCAGCGATGAACAAGACGGCCAGCGTCAATGCTAAAAAAGTGACTGTTACTCCGGTGGCCGTGGGCCATCGTGGGGCTGCGTGAGTGTCTTAGTGATCTGGGATCCCCCGGATGTTTCCTCGTCATTGATTTCTAGTGTCATTTTGTCTACTGGTTGGGCTACTCCCTTCAATAGTTCCTCATTGTCATTTGCATTTTTAAAGGGTGCCCCAACCCCAAAACCTCTGTCAAGTTTGGGACCTATTTCAAATGATAAAGCTATTTATACAAGCCACTTAAATAGGGCAAGATGTTCTCTAGCTGTGGAGTGCACAGCAAACTCGAGCTCACACAGCAAAATAACAAAGGACAGGAGTCCATCCAGCACAAACAAATAAACAAGCTACAGAGGCAGGACGTGACCACGGGGATCGGGCAGTCCTCCGAGTGCCGCGAAGGCCCTCTTGCTTCACTGTAGCCGACGGCGCAGGGGCGCGCACCACGGGGGCCCCGCTTTCCAGTGGTGGCTCTGGGTCCAAGAGCCAAGTGGTTTTTAAAGCTGCAGTAGGACCCCGGGCAGATGGAATGTCCCAGGCCTTTCGCAGGACGCTCATCAGCTGTTCGCTAGAGGTTGGTTCTAGCCACAGGTGGCCGCGACGCCCGTGGGAAGCCATCAGCCAGAGCTTGTTTCCTGAGAAAGCTAAGTACTCACAAGGTGCCTGGCTGTGTTGGGTTCTCTTTTAACTGTAATTTCCCTTCATGTGGTGAGACCAGCATGAGGCTATGCAGTCTCCGCGGGCCGGGGCGTTTTCTCTTTCGGTGCTGAGCACCAGCAGGCCCGTGGCTAGTGGGAGAGGCGAGACTCAGATGGCTTCCTGTGAGAGGCTGCTCCCATGAGTGAGCATGAGGCCCGGCTTTTCTCTGGAAGGTTCTGTTCACCAGTCCCCATTTAAACGAACAGGAAGCGTCCGTCTCCTGTTTGAATGAGGGGCCCGAGTCCATTGCAAAAGTCATTTCCTTCCACCCCGGCCCCCAGGAGCGCTCTGCGGGTGCCAGAGCCCCGGGAGCCTGTGCTGGACTTAGCCTGGGGCCCCAGCCTGTCCTAAGCTCTCAAAACCAGCCCGACCAGACTTGCAGATGACAAAATGAAGCCCTGGGACGCTGTGACTTGCCTCGGTCACCAGCACACCTGGAAGACTGCCCGGGCCCAGCACTCAGACCTGAACAGTCACAGAGAGGCCACCAAAGGTGACTTTCTGTGACAGGAAAAGGGCCAGAGAACAGAGAGATTATCTCCTTCTTGTCCGCGAAAGGAAACAGGATTGATCTGGCCCCTGGGGAGGTGGCTCCTGGTTGCCAAGCGTAGGCTGAGCAGCAGGAAGTGGGCAGGTTTGGGGCCAGGGAACCCCCGGTGGGGAGTTGAGACCAAAAGGTGAAGAGCAGGTTCTTGAATCGCCCCTGCTTACACTTGCGTTATCAAAGGCTTACTGAGAGTGGCTCTCATCCTGCTCATGGTCATTGGCGAACATGCCTGCAGGTGAAGCGGAAGCCCTTACTTCTATAAGCATAGACAGGTCACCCGCTGAGAAGCGGGACCTCAAGGCCACGGCACGATGCTACCTTTTGGTCATGGCACCGTTGTCGGCCAGCATTTGGCTTTCGTCAACTGCGTGAAGACAGCCACTGCGGCTCTGAGCCTAATGGGCTGTTTCCTGATTTATCTTCAGTTCTGACTCCCAGGGTGATGTTCTGAACAGAGGAGAAGCCTGGGTAAGTGAAGGCCTTTGCCCGAGGACAGAACCGCCCAGACAGGGCTTGGAGGAAGGTGCAGTTGGAGGCCCTTCCGAAGTTGCTGAGTTCGGGAGCAACCGCAAACTCACTGGGGCAGAAAGAGACAGGAGCGTGATGGGAAGAGGCTGGCTGAGGTCTCGGGGGGGCCCCAGGGCACTGTGACTCGTGTCCTGGGAGGGCCTGCAGACCTCACAGGGTCCGGCGAGGGCATCCCGGCACCCGGTCGCCCAGGGTGCGAGGGTCTAGGCGGGGCAGAGCAGGGCGCTTGCTCCAAGGACAGGCGTTGGTGTCACCCCTGGCCTGGGAAACTCTCTACAGGGGCCTTGGAACCAACTATGTCCTTGGGACTGTGTAACCCTTCGGCAGAGCACGCCTTTGGCTGTGAGGGCGGTCAGGTCCCCAGCCAGTGGAAACGCTGCTAGGGCCCCTGGGAGCCCAGGCCAAACGTGTCAGCACGTGGCACTGAGCGCCCACCGCTCAGAGCTGTGCCGCTTTGAGGAGCAGCAAGGGCCTGTCGCCCGAAGTTGCATAGCTGATCGGCTTTGGAGCGGGTGGTTTTTTTCTTGTTGTTTGCTTTTGTTTTAGTGTTTTATGTGACAGGTGAGAAAAGTAGTGTTTCTTGTGGGTAAAGTGACACTGAAAATCCAGGTGCTTGAGGCTATAGGAAATCGCTTCCGTCGTAGATCACTGGCCGGTCAACCGTCAAGTGATAAAATACTTTTTTGGAGACAAACCTGAGGAAACAGAAATGGAAAAGGAGGGTGAGAGCCGAGAGGTCTGCTGCAAAGGCCTGGCCCCTCACCCTGTTTCCTGTCCGTCCAGCCGAGTTCTCTTCCTGCCAAGAAGCAGGGGGTCTTGGGACATCACCATGGGCTTTCCTGGGGCCTGGGTGCAGAAACACCCACTGGGTCCCACGCTGTGCACCCCTCCCTCCTTCTCTGCGGCTCTGAAAAGGCCTGGTGGGGCTCGGGGGCCTGGATGGTCTGTGCTCCACGGCAGGAGCGGAGTGTGGATGGGGCCGGTGCTGTAAGGTGAGGCGAGGGTGGGACTCATTCTGACTGGGCACCCAAGTCTGTTCTGCCACCATCTTTGTGAACAGACTCAACAGGCGAAGGCAGGGTTGGCCACGGCACCACCGCCACCTTTGCCTTCAACCGGGAGCTGGCTTGGGGCTTGAGCTGCGCTCTGCCTTCAACATGCCCCTTCCTGGCCTGTCAGCTCACAGCGAGGCTCCGTGATGCAGTGACAATGCTCACGGTCACTGCAGAGGGAACTGGAGCTCAGGTAAGGCCCGCAGAGGAGAGAGCAGAGCCGGGGCCCGGCCGAGCCCTGCCCCCTCGGGAGGCATCGCATGGGCCATACTGGACCTGTGCCATTGAGTCCTGCCCACTCCGGGCGTGTTCATGGTCACGGGGGCGTGTAGGAGTGGGGCAGGGTGGGAATGTCACCCTCCCACCCTGTCAGTGGACGCCCTTGGCCACAAGCCCTGGGGGTTCAAGGCCTGGCGACGGTGAGGGGATGGCACAGCTTTTCCCTGGAGCATCCTTTCAAGTCATTCTGCTAAGAGCCCAAGGGGACTGGGAAGGGTGCCCACATCGGGGGATGTGGCCACTAGCTTGGGGCACCACTCAGAGAAGATGTGGCTGGGGGCCGATAAGCCAGGTCTCATAAAGAGGCAGCCCCAATTAAGGGCTCATGCTGAAGCCAGAGAACGTCAGAGGGACAGGCACCAGTAACCTTACGCTCCCCTGTCTCGCGTCCCCAGGAGCCCCGGCTTATGGTAGATGCACACCCAACACTGCCTCTCTCCCACTTCCCTCCCTGGGCTCCCCTCCAGCCTGGTCTCCCCACCTCCCCCCGCCCCGCCCCCAGGCCCTGCGCCGCTGGACCTGGTCTGGCACTGACACGGCGCTGCCCGGAGACGGCGTGCGCTGCGCCCGCTCCCTGACACCAAGGGCAGGGGCTTCACCTCGCAGGCCTGGTCCTGTTGTTCTCTCGCCTTAGCCTTCATTCTTTTATTCCTCTCTCTCTCATTCATCCACCTGCCCATCCACTGCATTTACAAGCCTTTCTTTGGGCCCAGCACGGGGAACCTGGACGTCAGGGAGAGGCAGGAGAGTGTGCGGGCAAGTCCAGAGCCTGGGGCTAGGCCGCCTGTGTTCACATCTGGCCCCGCCACTAGGTGTGCGGCTTGGAAGAGTCACTCTTTTACCCCTCTGGCCCTCAGCCCCTTAGCAATAACATGAGGAGAAAGACGGTCCCCACGACATGGGGGCGCCGTGGGGCTCAGGCGAGTCAACGTGTGGGGGGCTGACAACACACCCGACCTGCGCTAAGTGTGTAAGTATTCGCTTGTGTGTTGTAAAGTTGATAACAGACATTGGAACCCCATAGTATAGGGGTCTAACATCCCAGAGCTGCTCATAATAAATTAATGACAATTAAGTAATCTAAATAATCGTTTTTGAGCGTCCACCTCTGTTCTTGCGAGGAGGTGGCAGGTGGCCAGGGCGATGCTGACGAGCGAGGAGGCCCTACCTGGAAAAGGTGTTGTCGAAGATGAGCATGTAGATGCCTGGCGCGCGCACCTTGAGCTGGCCCTGGATGTTCTCCTTGTGGGAGCTGCAGCGGGTCGTGGGGATGAGGACCTGGGGGGAGAGCAGGGCGGCGGCGTCACGGGCCTGAAAGGGCCCCAGGCAGTGGCGGGGTGCCTTCCACGGGCCCTGGGTTTGCTGGTAACGTGCAGTGCGGCGTAGGCACGGATTCATCCGGAATCAAGAACTAGTCACCATCTCAAAAGAGCGGTCCCCCAGCCGCCTCTGACCGGGGCCAGAACGCCCCACCAGCAGGAGAAGCAGTCCCCTTCTGGCTTTAGGAAGCTGGGGGTAAAATCCACCTGTCTGTCTGTTTCCTGTTGGCCCCAGTTTTATACAAAACAACAGTTTTCAAAACACTGGACATGAGGTGATGAAGGACAGCGGTCTCTGGGAGAACAAGGTCAGGCTGACAACTGCCTTAGCTCATGGCTTTGAGGGGAAAAGGAAACCACCACCAGATAGGACGCATGAAAACAAAAAGGGAGATGCTGTGCTCAAACCTACCCTCGCCCATAATCACATTACATGTCAGTAGCCTGAACATACCCGGGAAAAGGCACAGGTCATCAGGCTGGGGAGCAGCGAGACCCATACACATGCCTATAAAAGACGCAGTTTAAATGTAGAGATACCAATAGGTTAAAAGTAGAAGGATATAGAAAGATGCACCATGCTAGCACTAGCCAAAAGAAAGCTAGATGGACTATATTAATGTCAAAGTAAATAGTGTACCAAATAATATAGCCTGGGAGAGTTTCATAATGATAAAGACGCCAGTCCATCAAGAGGACACGCCAATCCTACACACTTATACTCCTGATGACAGAGCCTGAAAACACAGGAAGCAAAAGCAGTAGAATTACAAGAAGAAATAGAATATATTCACAATTACCGTTGGATATTTCAGTATCTTTCAATAACTGAGGGAATAAGTAGACTTGGTAGCTATGTTACTTCGTTACTTGATAAGTAATGGATAACTACAGAACACTCCACCCAACAGGCGCAGAACACACATTCTTTTCAAAGGTACTTGGAATGTTCACTAGGCAGGTCACATTCTACCAGGCTGTTAAAAACAATGGCAACTTACATTTAAAAGGATTCAAGTTATACAAAGTGTGTTTTCTGACAATGGAATTGACTTAAAAATAAAGAGCAGATCTCTACAAAATCCCCAAGTATTTGGAAACGAAATCACACACTTCTAAATAACACAAGTCAAAGAGGAATCAAAAGGGAGATCCCAGAGGCACGGGAGGGAGCAGGCGAGCCGGGAGGGCGCGTCCCTGGCCCCACAGCCTCTGCTGCGGCTGGAAGCTGGTGGTGGCGAGGGAGGAGGGGCGCCCAGGGCGCACCCGGAGGGCAGAGGTGCAGGAGCACCCGCTCTGGGTGAGCTCTGTGGCAGCTCCTTGTGCAGGTTATCTCCTTAAGTTCATTAATGCTCAATGATACTCTAATTCCGCCGGGGACTGAGAGTCCTGGGAAGCTGAGTGGCGGGGTCTGCTTCTGTGGTCCCCAACCTACAACCTCTGCGCCTGGCCTGCGACACTCCTGCGAGCACAGGCAGGAAGGGGCTGCTGGAGTAAAAGGTGCCTCCCGCCCTCAGTCACCACCTTGATTACAGAGCAACAACCGAGAGCTCACGAAATAGGTCCTCTGAAGAGCCTGTTTCGAATAATACTCTTCATTTCTTTCAAACATTCCATTTTATAGGGATTTTGTTCATTTCAGCTGCTGCTTTCCTACCATGGTCAAATATGTAAAATTCTCTCCTTATTTTAAATAAAAACCCAAAAGTGTCCAGGGGACATTCATAACGGTCCTGGTGTCAGAGCTCGTGCCACTGAGGGGACAGGAAGATGACTGGCCGTCACCTGGGAGAGGCAGGGCTCTGCTGTGCTCCCTGGGGACGTCTCCCCAGGCCTCCGGGCCTGAGTGGCCGTGCCCTGATTCATGCCACATGTCTGCAAAGCAGAGCCAGGCGTTTCATTGATCTCTCTATGGGCACCAGCGGCTTGGGGTCCAGGTTCAAAGCAAGGGTTCTGAGCTGAATGGAAGCTGCCAGTCACAAAGGCCACATCCTGTCAGCTTCAAGTCACATGACAGGTCCCGATAAGGCAAGTCCAGAAAGACAGAAAGTGGCCAGCGGTTGCTCGGGGTGGGGGCTGGAGATGGCTGCTCGCGGCTCTGGGGATTTTGGGGGAGGGGTTATGATGAAAATGACCTAAAAGTAGGTGGTGGGGACAGTCGCACAACTCTGTGAGTACACAGCAAGTAAGAAAGACTTGTGTATTTTAAATGTGTGAATTATGTCTCAATAAAGCTATTTACAAAGTAAAAGGTTGCAGGTCCTGGCTCCCAGTCCTGCTTCCTCCCGACTCCCTCTGTGGCCGCAGGCAGGACACTGAGCTTCTCGGGCCAAACAGGGGCCCGCTGCCCAGAGCGGGCAGGGCTTGTGTCCTGCGCATGGGTGGCCTCAAGTCGTTGGTGGGCCGTTCCTTTTATCAGATGCCTTCCCAAACTCAGCCTCCAAGCTTGGTGTTGGGCTCGGAGGAAGTTGCCCTGGAGAGAGGGTGGCCCAGGGTGGGAGGTGCCTGGCAGGTGCCACCAGAGCGGGGGCTGGCCTGCTGCTGTGCTGCCCCTCCTGCCCTGCTCACCGGCTCCCAGGCAGGGCTGATTATGACACTCGCCATGTGGGATCGCAGCTGCCTCTCTACAAGGGTCTCTGGTTATATTGGGAGCTCCCCAACAGCAGGTCCCATGCTGTCCCTTCTCTCTCTATCCCCAGTGGGCCCTACGGAGCCCAGTGCACAGCAGAGGCTCAGTAAACGTCTGGGAACAGACTGCAAATTCGTGTGCAGTTCCTGTGTCTGTGTCTCCGGTGTCACCCCGCACCCCGCTGTTTCCTGTGGGACCCAGGCAGGTCAGGGGCTCACACAGGGAGTCCCTGGGGCAGATGCGTGCTGGAAACAGGCTTCCCAGGCTGCACCTGTTTGGGGACTTCAGGCAGAAATAACCACCTCCGCCCACAGCTGGCTGGCGAGAGTGGGCCCTTGAAGGCAAAGGAGCACCTGAGCACCCGGCGGCTCGCTCACCCTGCAGATGGGCTCCTTCTGCCCCCTGGCGTCCACTGTGGGAAAGACACTGTGGTCATGACCCCTGCTCAGGAGGCGCCTGGAAGCCAGAGGTGAGCACAGCTCCTCCAGGTCCCCAGGCTCCTGATTTCCGGTAGGAACCCCACAACGGTCCGAAGGCCAGGAGGATTTGGCAGGTGAGCGACTGAGCAAGGGAAGAGAGAGAGCCATGGCTCCGCCACGTGTGGGCAGGTGGAATGGGAAAGGCCTGGACGCCCGATTTAGTCACCCCCTCCATCTCCTCCTCCCTGCTGGCCACCAGCATCGAGGCTGGGAGGTCGCAGTGCAAGGCGCCTGCTGGGCACTGGAAAGGGCAGGGCAAACAGCTGAGGCGCTGCCAGGAGCTCCTGGCAGCACGGGGGTCGGGCGGAGCTGGTAAGCGCGCCAGCTTCACTGCTGCTCCGTGAACTCACTCTGCCCCTGTTTCCTCATCTGCACACAGAGCAACGGCACCCCCTGAGCGTGCTCTCGGACCTCACGCCCTCAGGCCTTGCGGTAGGGGTTCATGGCCTCTCAGGAAGGAGGGGCCCCAAAGCCAGGTGGGTGGCGCAGCTGTGACCCCCGCAAGGATGAGAGGGCAGAGCAGTGTTCAGGTAGGAATGAACATGAGACCCCAATAAACACAGCCAACTCAGGGAGGCTAGAACGACATTCTAGGAGTGGATCTAAGAGCACAAAAGGGGCAAGCAATCTCTACAACGAGCAGGACAGGGATGGCGGGTGAGCAAACCCAGACGCCCCTCCCCATGGCACGTGGTGCGGGAGCAGTAGCTGCTGCGACGGAGCCGAGCTGGCCGGGTGCTCCTTTGCCCTCACCCCGAGCCCCTCAGGGTGCCCTGTGGGCCACACGCATGAGGGATAAATGGATAGTATCTTGTTTCACGTGACCTTCAAGCGCTCTCCTCTAGCCTGACTCTTGTCTTTTTGGAAAGTGGAGATTTGGGCGACCATATTAAGGGCTTGGGCTCCTCCCTGAGCTCCTATCCAGTGTCTCACTGTCCTGACCGTTCCCTCCACTTGGTGATTCAAGTGGAACTGGGTTCCCACCCAAACCGGCTCTCGTCCACTAGCCCCTGCACCCTCCCTTCCCCTGCGGGGGAGTGGGCACGGATCCCGACCCCCTGCCTCAGCCTACACTCAATCAGCCACCGCGGGGCCTGTCCGCCTGCCTCGGTTCCGGACTCTGCCCCAGCCGTCCTCACACCGGCTTCCCCCCCTGAGTGCAGTGCAGTGGTCCTCACCCCTGGCTGCTCACAGGGATCACCAGGGATGCCTGCAGCCTAGCCACCGAGATTCTGATTTAGTGGCCTGGGGTGTGGCCTCGCAGTCGGTTCAAAAACACTCCCCAGGCGTTCTCCTACAGTCGTTTCTCTTGGGGTCTCTCTCACAGCTGGGCTCCAGAATATTCCAAGAAAGGCCTGCCCAGGCGTCCTGAGGCGGGAGAAGGGCCCGCTGGCAGGGACCCGGCCTTACCTTACAGTGATCCAGTGGTGTGTCCTCTGCCTCCCGGAAGACCACACTGAAGGAGATGCTCTTGGGGTCGGAGGAGAAGACCCAGCTGATGGTGAGGCCCGCCTCGGCCACGGTGATGGGGATGAGGCTGTAGGTGCTGGACCGCACAAACAGCTCCCTGTTGCCGTCCCCGAAGCTGGCGATCTCTTCCACTGTGAAAGGAACTTTTATCCTAAAAAAGCAAATGCAGGGAGGGACCCGATCAAAGTGGGTAAAAGTCGCCTTTGCTAGTCGGGTTGGTTGAGGCTCAGACGTGGCCAGGAATCTGAAGCTCTTGGGAGGATAAGCCCTGGGTAACCTTGACCTACGGGCTTAATATGGGAGAAAGTTTAATATGAAACTTGTGCCAACAGGCATTTTCTGAGCACTTACTAAGTGCTTGTCACAGTACTAGGCACTGGGGACACAGAAGTAAAAAATACAGATGACAAAATCGCTGCTCGTGTGGAGCTGCAGTGGAACTGAGAGGCCGGCCCGAGCTGCCCCAGCCCCTCCGGGACGGGAGGCCGGTGCTGAGGCGCGGCTGTCCGCCGGTCGCCCGAGCCGCCCTGCTCCTGAGCCGTCCCCTTTCTCTTTCCCATTCCGTCCCCCTTTATCTAATTACCACCAGCAGAAGGCACACCCCTCAACAGAAACCTCCAAGTGGGCACTCTGACTTTTCTTAAATGCAAATACGCCAGATTTTCTTTTTCTCAATTAAAAAAAAATTTTTGTTTCCAATTACAGTTTGCATTCATTGTTGTTTTGTATTAGTTACAGCTGTACGGCACAGTGGTTAGACAATCATGGTTAGACAATCATGTACTTTATTATAGAGTATTCTCCCTGATATTTCCGGTACCCACATGGCACTATACACTTATTACAATATTATTTTTTTTTAAAGATTTTATTTATTTTTAGAGAGAGGGGAAGGGGAGGAGAAAGAGAGGAAAAGAAACATGGATGTGATAGAGAAACATTGATCGGCTGCCTCTCATATGCTCCCCAACCGGGGACCGAACTTGCAACCCAGGCACGTGCCCTGAAGGGATCGAACCAGCGAACCTTTGCTTTGCAGGATGACGCCCAACTGACTGAGCCATACTGGTCAGGGCAGTTAGGACAACATTATGGACTATATCCTCTCTGCTGTTCTTTACATCGCCATGACTGTTTTGTAGCTACTAATTGGTACTTCTCAATCCCTTTACCTTTCTCCCCAGTCCCCCTCTGGCAACTGTCAGTCTGTTCTCTGTATCTGAGTTGCTTTCTATATTGATTGTTTATATTGTTCTTTGGATTCCACACATTAAGTGAAATCATACGGTACGTATCTTTCTCTGACCTTATTCCACTTAGCATAATACCCTCTAGGTCCATCAACACTGTCACAAATGCTAAGGCTTCATCACTTTTATGGCCGAGGAGTATTCCGCTGTGTACATGTATCGCAGCTTTTTTCATCTACTCATCTATACGTGGGCACTTGGATGGCTTTCATAGCTTAGCCATTGTAAATAATGTCGCTATGACATAGGGGTGCATATACTTTTATTCTCCTGAGTTAGCATTTTGGGTTTCTTTGCAATACATACCTAGAAGTGGAATCACTGGGTCATAAGGCAGTTCTATTTTTAATTTTTTGAGGTAACGCCACACTGTTTTCCATGGCGGCTGCACCGGTCTGCACTCCCACCAGCAGGGCACACGCTTTCCCCTTTCTTCACATTCTCGCCAGCACTTGTTTGTTGACATATTGATGACCGCCATTCTGACAGGTATGAGGTGATAGCTCATTGTGGTTTTAATTTGCATTTCTCTGATGATTAGCAATGTTGAACACCTTTTCATATGTCTATTGGCCATCTGTAGGTCCTTTTTGGAAGTGCCTATTCAGATCTTTTGCCCATTTTAAAATTGGGGTTTTTTTTTTTCGGTGTTGAGTTGTATAAGTTCTCATAAATTTTGGTTATTAACTCCCTATCAGATGTATCATTGGAGAATACATTTCTCCCATTCAGTGGGTTGTCTTTTCGTTTAGTTTAAGGTTTTCTTAGCTGTGTAAAAACTTTTTAGTTTGATGTAGTCCCATTTGTTTTTCTTTTATGTCCCTTGCCTGAGGAGACAAAATATTAGTAAGAGAAATGTCCTAGATTTTATTGCCTATGTTTTCTTCTAGGATTTTTTTTTGTGAGATTGAGTCTTACATTTAAGTCTTTAACCCATTTTGTGTTCACTCTTCTGCATGGTGTAAGAAGGTGGTCTAGTTTCATTTTTTTCATATATCTGTCCAATTTTCCCAACACGGTTTATTGAATAAACTCTCTTTACCTCATCGTATATTCTTGTCTCCTTTGTCAAATATTAATTGACCATATAGGTGTAGGTTTATTTCAGAGTTCTCTATTCTGTTCCATTGATCTGTACGTTTGTTTTTATGTCAGTATCGTGCTGTTTTGATTACTATAGACTTACAGTAGAGTTTGATATCAGGTGGTGTGATTAGTCCAACTTTGTTCTTCTTTCTCAAGACTGCTGTGGCTATTTGGGGTCTTTTGGGGATCGACATAAATATTTGGATTATTTGTTCTAGTTCTGTGAAATACATCACTGGTAACTTGGTAGGAATTCCACTGAATCCACAGATTGCTTTGGGGAGTATGGACATTTTAACAAGGTTAATTCTTCCAATCCATGAACATGGTATATGTTTCCATTTATTTGCACCTGCTTCAATTTCTTTCTTCAGTGTCTTATAATTCTCAGAGTACAGGTCTTTTACCTCCTTAGTTAAATTTATTCCTCGGTATTTGATTTTTTGACGCAACTGTAAATGGGACTGTTTTCTTAGTTTCCCTTTCTGAGAGTTCATTATTGGTGTATAGAAATGCAACCTACCTCTGGAGATTTATTTTATATCCTGCTACTTTACTGAATTTATTTATCAGTTCCAATAGTTTTTTGGTGGAGTATGTAGGATTCTCTGCAAATAATAACACTTTTATCTCTTCATTTCTAATTTGGATGACTTTTATTTCTCCTTCTTGTCTGATTGCTGTGGCTAGTAGGACTTCCAGTACTAGGCTGAATAAGAGTGGTGAAAGTGGAAATCCCTGTCTTGTTCCTGATCTTAAGGGACATGCTTTTATTGGATGGGCCAAAAAGTTTATTTAGTTTTTCCTGTATGATGGCTCTAGTAGTACTTAGTTGTCTTTAACTTCATTTGAAACAATTATTTTATTTTTTAAATTTTTAAAATTAATTTATTTTTCCAAATACATTTGTCTCTGCCTTCCCCCCACCACTTTCCCCTGCCCCCTTCTCCCGCCATCAGTCCTTCCCCACTTTGGTTTTGTCCATGAGTCCTTGTGAAACAATTATTTTAGATTGTATTGTTGACAGCTGTCATATCAGGGTGTACTTAAAAAAGATTAAAATTGAATTTTTGTGTAGCCATTTTAATACTGAAGATGGAAAATGATACACAACTTTTTCAGCATTATTATGCTTTATTATTTCATTAAAGGTAAAAACACAGCTGAACTGCAAAAAAAGATTTGTGTGGTATGTGGAGAAATTGTGTGACCGATCAAATGTGTCAAAAGTGGTTTGCAAGGTTTCCTAGTACTTTTGACACTTTGGTCAAATAATTATTTGCTGTGGGGCTGTCTCATGCACTGGAAGATGTTTAGCAGCACCCCTGGCCTCTACCCACTAGAATTCAAAAGCAGGAGACAGCCGGCATACTCAAAATATCCAAATCAATAAAGTTATTTTGAAAATAAAAAATGTGTCTTTTATCTTACAGAAAACACTAAATGGACTTTTTGGCCAACTCAACAGTTTTTCCCCAGTCAGTATGACTTTAACATTGTCATATGTGGCTTTTAATACGTTGAGATATGTTCCCTCTATTCCAGCTTTGACAGGTTTTATCGTAAGTAGGTGCTGGATTTCATCAAAAGCCTTTCCTGGCCCTGCCCAGCGTAGTTCAGTTGGTTGAGCATCGTCCTGCAAAGCGAAAGGTTGCTGGTTTGATTCCTGATCACATGCCTGGGTAGCAGGACAAGTCCCCGGTTGGGGGCGTATGAGAAGCTGCTGATTGATGTTTCTCTCACATGTCAATGTTTCTCACCCTCTCTCCCTCCTTTCCTCTCTGTAAAAAATAAATAAAATCTAAAAAAAAAAAAGCCTTTTCTGCATCTATTGATACAATCATATGATTTTTATCCCTCATCTTGTTTACGTAGTATATTCAGTTAAGTGATTTGTGGATATTGTAACAACCTTGTGACTCAGGAATAAATCCTACCAGATCATGGTGTATCATCTTTTTAATGTACCACTGGATTCGGTTTGCTGATATTCTGCTGAGGACTTTTGCGTTTGTGCCTATCAGGTATATTGGCCTATAATTTTCTTTTTTTGTAGTATATTTATCTGGTTTTGGAATTAGCATAATGCCGGCCTCATAAAATGAGAGAGGTAGTCTTTCCTCCTCTTAAATTTTTTGAAATAGTTTGAGAAGGAGAGGGAGTTTTTCTTGGAAAGTTTGGTAAAATTCACACATGAAGCCATCTGATCCAAGGCTTTTGTGTGGGTTATGTGAGCCCTCCTATAATAACTGAATCTTGATTGCTATTTGCCTGTTCATTGGTGGGATTGAACCTCAGGCTGGCTAACTGTGAGGATCGAGCCCAACCACAGTGTATGAGCTGCTGTGCAAGCACTGACCACACGAAGCAGAGTACACCTCAGCAAGGTCCAGTGCCTACCAAGATGTCCCTTTGCATGTGCCACTCATGAAACTATCAATCCTGCTCTGATGTTGTCTGGAGCTCACCACTGGGTGTGTCTATCCTAGGTCTCTTGGGAGGAACGCTGGTGCCAGTTAATGTCGGACACTGCCTGTGACTGGCCCTGGGCACCCTGTTTGGAGGTACGAACCAGTCCAGTTTCTGGCTGCCTCTGCTGGGCCTGGGTATGTGTGGGAAGAAGCAAGCTGTGCACCAAGGCCGGCTTCCACCAGCACCACGACGAGGGGCAGGTCGGTAGAAAGCACCAGTAAAAAACTCTGAGATTTGCCTCTGCCTTCTGGCCACCTGTTAGTCTTAGTCAGAGCCTCTAGTCCAGGGGAGCTTCTTAGTCAGAACCTTGAGTGAAACAGCCTCTGGCAATACTCAAGTTTTATGAGGCAGGTTCTCAGCCACCAGATAGGGGTGCGTGGTGATTACTAGACTGGTGTCAATGTTGGATCTGAGGCCACTAAGCAAAAGTCCCAGGGTATGCCAAGGCTAGATGCCACCTGCCAGGTACCTGTTGATTTTTGTGGTGGTACAGGGTCTCAGGGAGCCATTAGAGTGAGGCCAGCAGAGTTAATCAGGCCCAAAGAGAGCAGGATTTGGCCATGTGAAGGGAGTGTTCTGCACAAGCTGGGCTTTTAAGGAAAAATGGACCACGTCATAGAATTACACAACTGAGCCTGTCCCAGATTCTGCCCCCCCCCCACCATGACGGGGAAGCACTGGTCAGGCTTGGGGGAAGGTGAGGGGAGTTGCCTCTGTCCCAGAGCCACACAACTCCCAGTCAGATGACTCCTTTGCTAAGTGTGCTCAGCGTGACCTCTGCTATGTGGGGCAACAGGAAGTCTGGAAGCTGGGGCTATTGCATTCCCCCAGGCTGTTGTCTTAGGAGAGCTGTGCTCCACTTAAGGACAGCACTGCGGGGTGAGAGGGGCTCAGCACAGGAACCCTGGCAGCTGACCCTTCAGCTCTCTCCCTTGATCCACGAACCCCAGTCTCTCCTCACAGGACTCTAGTGCCTCCTCCATCCCTCCGCTGGAGCCCAGGGTAAGTGTCTGCATATGAGATTTTGTGTGCTGGACCTTCAAGAGGGCGCCAGAGTTCTAGCGGAACCCTGTCTCTCCCTGGTGGACAGAATCCCCACTGATTTTCACAACCAGAGGTTACACAGCCACCTCCTCCTGGCTCTGGTGCCCTGGGCTGTGCAGCCCGACGAAGGGTTGAGACCCCTCACTCCTCAGGGGGAACCTCTGCCACTGAGACACCCCTCTGGAGGGCTGCCCTTTTTGGGGCCAGCCCTCTTCCAGTCTCTGCCCTGTGTACCAGTCTTGATGTGGCTTCTGTAAATCCTTGGTTATGTCTTTTTTGTTAAGCTAGTCATCAGTTGATACTTCAGGCTGTGTGTTCTATATTCTACTCATAATTCCAGGTTGGTCCCGGGAGCATGTGAATGCAATTTCCACTTACTCCACCACCATCTTGGATCCCCTCCCCAGACTCTCTTTAATGTAATGCAGGGCTGATGTGATGGCTTTGGGGAGAAGGGCTTCTTAGGGCTGTGTTCCTGGGTCAAACTCCCAAGAGGTGGGTAAGAGTGTCTTCCAGAAGGTTGAAGGGTTCAGGGACAGTGAGTTCCTCTGCTTACCGGGCCTCTGCAGGACCCAGGAGTGATGGGCTGAATGGGGTGTGGAACCAGACGGACCTGGCTCTGGCACCTGCCTCTCTTCTTACTGCCACCGGGCTGACCATCGCTTAAGCCCCAGTCTCTTCATTTGCATATAGACACGACCATGCCCACCTCCTGCCTGGTGTGGAGCGGACACAAGGCTGAACTTAACTGAGGCGGGAGTCTCCCAGAGGCTGCTGTCTCGACTAAGTGGCTGAGCAGCTCCAGAGGCCGCACCCTAGCTCGGGGCTACAGCTCAGGACTGGTGTGGGCTGGGGCCGGTCTTACCTGCTCAACTGTGCCTTTGCTGGAGCCAATATATTACTGTCCTCTTAACCACAGGGGCAGAAGTTAAAGAGCTGAGAGGTTAGGTAACTTGCCCAAGGCTGTGTGGCAAGTAGTGGTGCCTGAGGGGTCTGTCTGTCTGTCTACAAAGCTATGAGGAGGGATGGAAACGCTCCCCAAAGAAACACTAATGAAGAAGGCTAATCAATGATTAAAAAACCCCAGTGCTCTAAAGAACAGCTCTGATCTAAGTCACTCACCTCTGTGAAAACTTAATTCTGTAAACCATATTTCCGTGTGTTAAGTTTTATTGCTAATTGCGGGCTGCCCCCTGCACCGCGGCCCCAGCTGGGGTCGTGGCTTGCCGTGCAGGCACGTGCCCTGATCCGGAATCCAACTAGTACCCTTTTGATTCACAGGCTGGCGCTCAGTCCACTGAGCCACACGAGTTGGGGCATTATTTCTAATTATGTATAAAAGACCTTTTCCAATATTTACGTTTTTCAGAGAATCTGAGAGTAGGGAGAGAGGTTCACTGGGGAAAAGAGGTCTTTCTTGGAACATTAAATGTTAATGCACTACCACGTGTGCTTCCACTTGTTGATGACAGAATGCCCCACTGATGCTGGGTCATCTTACAATTTCATGTTCCAGAATCTTCCCCTCACATCACTCTTTGGATTTAACCTTTCTAGATACCATGTTTTCAGTAAAGAACAATACTCAGTCTCCCCAAAGGCGATGCTAATAAAAACAAATCAAGGCTTTGCTATTGCTGTTCAAATACGATCTTAAATGAAAGCCTGCGTCCACAGGTCTCGCACTGTAAGTGTAAACCACTCTGCCCTTGACCCTCCACAGCCATGCCCCCCGCGGCAGCCAGAGCGGTCCTCTCCTGGATGTATATTAGATTAAGGCACTCTTCCGTCCCACGCCTGACTTGGGGACTCCCACTTCCCTCAGATTAAAAACCAAAGTCCTTACGGTGGCCAGCAAGGTCGGAGGTGGTGTGCATGCCCCAGTCCTCTGACGAGGCCACCCTCACTCTCTCTACTTCGGCCACACCGGCCCCTTCCCTGTTGCTTGACCACGCCAGGCGCCCTCCTGTCCTGGGGCCTGTGCACCGTTTTCTCTGCCTGAAGGCTCTTCCCTCATGTATCTGCGCGGCAACTCCTCCAAGTCTTACCTGCTTAGTGTCACTCTACCTAAAACGGCAAGTCCCCCTGGCCTCTTACCCTGCTCTTTGTTTCCTTGCCATTGCAACCACCACTTTGTAACATAGTCTGTGATTTACTTACTCACGTGTATCGTTTGTCAAGCCCCCCTGGACTAGATGCTGAACAGGAGGGCCGGGGTCTGCCCCCGTGTCGTTCGCTGACGCACTAAGGACTTAGAACGGTTCCCGGCACACGGGAGGTGCTGAATAAACACCGGTCAGTGGCTGACTGGACCTATTCAACGCTTATTATGCAGCTACGCAGCCACTGAACATACTGAGCACCGGGGACAAAGGTTGCTATGGGAAAGGACTCATGCAATACGAAGTTTAAAAAGCCTGCAAAATGCAGTGTAGATTATGTATGTTAAAAATTATGTGTATATGTATAGAAAGACTAGATTTACTTTCCTTTCCTAATTTTCTACAATGAAAATGTGTTGCTCTCACGATAAGAAAACGAAACAAAGTTATTTTCCAAAAAGCAGACTCCAGGGCATCCCTGTGGGAGAGGGATGAATATAAAGGGGCACAGAGGACTTCAAGGGCTGAGGGGCCTGCTCTGTGTCTTCACGGTGAGTGGTCCCATGGGGCCGAGTCCCCTTTCCTTCCTAGACCTAGGCTTCCTCTTTGGCAGCAATGGGGAGCCGAGCTGGCGGGCTTTGGGGATCCCCGAGGTCATAGGAGCTGCTGGCGGAGCTGGGCGCGGGGCGGAGCAAGATGACTGGCGATTATTCTGCTCTACATTTTGTCCAAGTCCGAGCTTCCCAGCCTCAGCAGTGGAAAGGCCAGGCCCCTCCCCCCAAAGTACAACAGCGCGGGAGCCCTGCCCAGGGACCCGGCACTTACATCAGCTCTCCAGACTTCAGCAAGCAGATCTCAGCATCCTGCCCCAACGGCGCGTCTTCAGTGTCCTCAGGAGTTAGCGAGTTTGACGTGGTGTCCCTGAAGTGTCACAAACGAGAACACAGGGTCACACATCCTTCGGTCCACAGTCTTGGAGTCATGCAGCCAACCTCAGACCTCGTGGAAAATCCCTCAGTCCCGGAGGCCACGAGAGGGGCCCGGCATACTCTGCAGGCAGAGGGCCACTGAACGGGGGGCAGGACCCCGGGGGAGCAGGGATTTCCCTGACATCGTCCCCGCAGGTGTGGGGAGGGGACGACCGTAACAAAAAGGGACCACCCCCTCCTCCCACCCCAGCAGGCTGCAGCCACAGCTCAGGCAGCAGCCCCGGGGATCCTGCCTTCTCAGCGCCGGCCGCGACGAGAGGAGCCCGCTCCGGCCCACCGCTGGGAACAAGACCAGGTGCCCAGAGCTAATGGGGCAGGCAACTGTGTGGGCCAAGAGGAAGGCTGTGGGACGGGGCCACGGACAAAGGGGTCAGGCCGAGGCTACATCCCCTCCCTCCCTCGTGACCCACTCTCAGCTGTGCAGAGCCAGCAGTGAGGGCCACCTGGCCATCGAGACATCCTGCGGGTCCCGAAGTGTGCTTGGCGGGACACCGGTGCCAGGGTGGGGGGCACCACGTACACGCTTAGAAAGTCACAGCTTTATTTTTTTTTTCTTAGAGAGATTTTATATTATTTTTTAGAGAGTTTCTTTCTTTTTAGAGAGAGAGGGGAAGGGAGGGATAAAAAGGGAGAGAAGTATCGACTAGTTGCTTCTGGAACTCGCCCTGACTGGGAACCAGACTTGCAACCCAGGCATGTACCCTGACCAGGAATTGAACTGGCGACCTTTTGCATTGCAGGATGCCGCCCAACTGAGCCACACTGGTCAGGGCAGTCACAGCATACTTTAAATAGCCACAGTAAATTCAAGGCTCCGAGGAGCCCTGCAGCAAAGTCACCTACTAAATTTTAACTCTAGTGTTTCTATATTTACTTGACCACGGAGTATTTTTAACCCCTACTGACAAGAAAAGAATTGGGGACAAATCCGTGGAGAAGACCCTGAGTGACACATGAGGCGGCAGGTGTGGGTTAGCAGACCCACGTCTGAGGACAGATGCAGCCACCCTCACCTCTATTTGCTGCCCCCCTACAAACCCTCTCTGTGCCGGAGGAGGACAGGCATTGCGGTTGGGGTCGGGGTGCAGAGAGGGGCGGAGCAGGCCTCTGTCCTGCTGGCACATCTCTGAGCTCCAGACCTGGCTCCATCTACAAAGCTCGGACGTTACACCTGCTCACCACCGGCTACGCAGCCGCCCTCCCGCCCTCCCCGCCAGAGCCCCCACCTCCCGGCCTTGTTCCTGCCCGTCTAGCGCTGGAGTGTGGAGGCCGCTGGATGTGGGAATCTGCTCTCGGTGCCAGTGTACGTGGGGGGCGGTGGGGGCTGGCACTGGGAGCCCCCAGGGCTGCCTTGATCGTCAGACACCCACTGGCGGGCAGGGGCCTGGCCGGGGCCCTTGGGGGCGAGGCAGGTGGACGATCACGCCAAGGCGACTGCAGTCTTGGCTTTACAACTAGAGTGTGACTCTGGGTGAGCCCTCTCCTCCTCCAAGGCTTTAGTTCCTCTCCTCCAAATAGGAGGGGATGCAACTGACAGCTTGGAAAGGCTGTGTGTTTCAAAGGACTTGGAGAAGGCATTTTACTCCATCTTTTGGCCAGGAAAGAAGTGGGCTTGTTCTGGTCGGCAACTCCCTGCTCTTGGCCTTCAGTTCTTTCTAGGGAAGGTGCAGCAAGAACATGTCCCAAAGTGCCACCAAGGGCAACATGTCCCCTGCTGCCACCAAGGGCAAGGCTTGTCACTCGCTGCTCCTTTTCCTCCCCAGCCTAGCCACCGCCCCCCCACCCCAACCTCCCTGCATACCTCCTTCTCGTTGCTCCTCTAACCACTGCTCCCAGATCCCCCACCTCTGACCCCAGGACAAACACAATCACACAACGTCAGTGCAAGAAGCAGCTCAAGAGGCGGGCCCAAGGCCACCCAGGCCTGCCTTATTTCATTCGCTTTTAACCTTGTCGGAAGAGGAAACACCGTAAATGAGAGATAAATAACATATGATGAAACAAACTCTGAAAACCGCAGTCGGTTCTCTCAACCTCCCTGCAATTGGGATAAAAGATGTCCTAACCTATTATTCCCTTTCTTCCTGCGTCTCCCACCTCTCTGACCATCATGGCGACAGACAAGTCCCGACTACCTGCAAGCCGATGGTTCCTAGAGCAGGTCCCCCACACCGCAGCCAGCCCCGGCTGAGGCCCTGCAGGAGGGGCTGAGTGACGCGGGAGGACGGAGCCGGGAGTGTGCCTGGGTGGGCCACGCAGTCTGGAAGGTAACGGCCAGGGCAGTTCAATCAAACTGTGGGTCACAACTCATCTAGTGGGTTCTGAATCAATTTAAGTTATGGCCAACGTTAAAAAAGAAATTAGTAATGCATGTTGTGAGGATACATTTTGTTTTATGAGGCTCTTGTTTTAAGTCTACACATGTCCGCACCTAGGTAGTCATGTAAAATGTATTCTTACTATAGGATACAGCAGAAAATGAGCAACTGTTAGAAGATGTCAAAGGATTAAAAAATATGTGAGACAACCGGGAACAAAACAAGGCCACTAGGGGGCAGCCTATCTCCACGACACCCATTTCCTTTTGTGGTCACTGAGGTGCTTTTCTCAGAAGAGTGAGACAAACTCATTGCCCACAAGTGGCCTTCCTCCTCCCCCTATTGCTCCGGCCATGGGAGCTAAGCGGCCTCCTACAGATGATGGCCGGTCACACTTGCCTGCCAAGGGTCACACTCTCTGTCCCTGAGCCTATGGCCAGCCCAGCGGAACCTGCCTTGAGGCACGCACATCTGTGCCATCTCCCTCCACCCTGAGGGCGGTCGCCTGCCTCCCACACAGCCTTTGCTCAGTAAGTGCCCAGATGACGCGCCTCAGGTGAAGGTGGTGTTCTGTGTCAAATGCCTCCAGTGGAGGACAGGACCAAGGCTCCACTTTAGAACCAAGTTGAGAAAGCAGCAGCCACATACGAGAGGGATGCTGAGCAGTTCCCGGAACACAGCCCAGGGTCAAGCCTGCCTGGATGAGGGACGGGTCATGGGCGGGGCTCCTCTAGTTTGGCTTCAGCAGGCGGAATCGTCAGTATTTTCCTCTCAAATCAAAATGCCTTAGTCTCTTTTTTATTTCATTGTTGTACAACTTCAGCCCCGCAGACTGCCGGGGGAGCAGACTCCCTGCTTGTTTAGATTGGCTGGGAGGGAAGAGAGGCTTAGAGGCCCCTGCGGCGGGGGCATCCTGCGGACGGTCGTTCCTGGAGGGCTCCATCCGCTCCTCCGTGCGGCTAAGCCCGGCGCAGTTAGGAGCGCTGGTCCTGTGGCCGATCCACAGAGCTCCGCAGCCCCCCAGCTCAGCCTCCAGCTGCCAACAGTCTCCTGCGAACTGCAGAGGTCTTTGGTTTACAGCTGCACTGTCCAATGCGGTAGCCACTAGCCTCATGTGGCTGTTTAAACTCAAATTCATCAAAATCACACACACACAAAAATGTGTTTCCTTGGTTGCACTTGGTTTCCTTGGTTGGTCACATTTCAAGTGCTCAGCAGCCACATGGGCCGGTGGCCACTGCACCGGACAGCACAGGTACAGGACGGGCCTGTCACTCCAGGAGGCTCTATTGGGCAGCGCGGTTTTGGAAGCCGGGCTGAGTCATTTTGTGGGCCACTTTCACTGTGGATTGGGGGCATCCTTTTATTTGACTAGTCAAGTAAATTCCTAATTTTTCTTTTAGTCATTGGCTTCCTTTCGCCTGAAAAACAAGCGAAGAAGAGCACAAAACACCAGAGGTATTTTGATTTCTGATTACTTGGTAACTATGGTCTGACACAACTTGCAAGCCAGCGAGCCCATCCTCACAACCAACGCTTGCGAGCGAGCACTGCCTGCCAATGGGCCGAGTGCGTGGCTTTTGGAGGCAGGGCCGCAGCAGACTGTCACCTAGAAGCCATAGGTTTGTGGGTCTGGCAATGACAGAGAGCCGGGTCTGTATGCTGGAGGTGCCGGTTGTTAGTTGTATGCACATGGGACTGTCATTGTGAGGATAGCCCCCATGCTCTCCCCTGTAACATGGGGACGCTTGCTCTGCAGGGCTGCTGAGAACGGGCGGCTGTCGCGGGGGAGCGGCACGCAGACACGAGGCCCCGCCAGAGCACGGACCTCGCCCTGGTCCAGATTCGAGCTGTTCCTAAGAGACGCGTGCCTAGTGGGTGAAATAATTTTAAGGTGCAAACGCCACCTTCAGCGGACTGCCAGGGCCAGATGTATTGTTCCCCTTCAGTTTACAAACAGCTCTCAGTTTCTCACAGAACAGCTGGCAGTGAGGGGGCAGGGAGTTCACAGTGACAGAGCCACAGCTTCCTACCTTTGACCCACGGGTGCAGACTGATCATGTGGATTCTGATCTAGATGCTGGGTTAGGTCTCCAGTCACCAACCGAGAGCTTAAAACTATTCAGCGGAAACATGGACCACATCACAGAGGGGTAGAGGTAGACCCTGCTGCTGAGAAGAGCTCATCTCTGGAACAAACTGAGAAAGCATCTCGGCTGGTGAGTCATTCGTCATCTTCTTAGTAGGTAAATTCCAGGGCCTCTGGTTCTGCTGCAAATGTGCAGGCTTAGAGCGTAACTGCTCCGGGTTTGCGTTTCATCTCTGCTGTGTGCGGCCAAGGGTCAGAGGGACGTGAAAATGACTTAACGTGGTCCTGGACACACAGTAAGTGCTTGTAGGCTAACGGTCCTGGGGAGCGAAGGCCTAACCCAACGCTCCCAGGGAGACAAGGAGCGTCACTGTCTGTGCTTGTTCACTGAATAACCTTTCTGGTTTTGTTTCTTTTGCATTTAACGACAGGCTGCTGTGTCAGAATATGGTTTACTTTCTTGTCTCAATGTACCATTGTAGAAATTTTGGAAACTATGAGGGAAATAAGTCACCCTTAATTTTACCAGCTGAAGGGCACTGCTGATAAAATCTGGTCATTTTTCTGTTTAAAAAAAATATATAGTTGTTGAATATATATATATGGCAGAGAGTCGAAGGGTTCCTCATCCCCCAGAATTGCAGGTATGTGTGTACATATTTCTGAAGGACAGGTGTGTAGCTTACATGAGGTTCTCAACGGGGTTTATGATCAAAGGTTAAGAACCATGACCAATTTTACGTTCCTTTTTCACCTACTCATTGTAATAATAAAAGCCGATACTAATTTTGTGCTTGCACTCTTCTGAGCAATTTAAATGTATTAAATTTTTCAAAATATTAAAAGTACTTCCTAAATATTAATTGTATTTTTTCTGAATTCTAATGTGCTTACTTTTTAATTATCAGGCATTTACACTATTTTAAAAGTTGCATATATTACTATTCTTTTAAAATTTTCAGAAATCAACATAGAACGTTGGTTACAAAAGAAAAATGCATGGTTTTCACATTTCTAGAGGAAAAGGAATTTTTAGTACTCCATCTACATAGAATTGTGAAGTTCTAATCTGTTAACACATTATTAGAGTTCACTAATTATCACAAAGGAATTTGCTTGAGCCCTTTAAGGAAATACGTAACGTTAGTGTAAGGATCCAGCAACTGCCCTGATCGGAGGGTTAAAACAAAAGGCAAGCAATAATGGAGAGCTGATGTTACTCCTAAGAGAGGCAGAGCTGCCTGTTTAATATTCTAAATGATGAAGAAAGTTTTTTGTCCCCTCGTGAAGCAGTTAACACCTACACACCCGTCGGCTGACCGCCTGACCCAGCAGCCCTGATATCTATCGGCTGGCCTACTGCCCTGTGAGAGCTCACGGTTGTGGTCCAGGAGCAGGGACTTTTTACTGAGTAGTCTCGCCGTTCAAAGGCACGGCCCTTCCTTGCAGAGAAAAAGGCACCTTGTTCTCAGGGAGGACCAAGGGGGCAGCACCAACGCTGACCCGTTCCCACTCAGCAGAAGTCTCCAAGCAGGTGAGAGAGGACAGATGAGACCTCCTTTAATGTGCTCTTGTCTGGCCGGTTGATATTTTGACTTTGCTAAAACATATACCTGCTTCCTTCCAACCCTGAAATGTGCAATAAGGAATATCTGTTTTAGTTTAAAAAAAAAAAACTTTTTGAGATTCTACCAGGGCACCGCACTGGGTTCCTGGAAATGAGTCACTGTGCCCAGTGACTCTGTGGGCCAGTGGCGTGGTGCTCCCAGGCCGATGCTGCTACTGGGGCCCATGCCCGTGCCACGGTCACATCACCTCTATGTCCTGCCTGTGGTCCTCAGCAGAGTCATAGGTCAAAGAGAAGAGCCCAAGGGAAGCGCCAGCTTTGAAGGGCTGGGAGCCCCAGACGGGAACGGCAGCTATTTGGGCTTTGCTACAAGGCTCACTGCAAGGCTGGCCACAGGCTTCTGGCTACCCACCCAGCTGGCGTCTCACTTCCACCGGCTCTTCCATTTGCTAAAGGGGACCCTTCAGCCCACACTGCTAGCCATTAAAGCTAAAGCCATGTTTCCTTCGGGGGAAATCTACCTTTTAAGAGATGCCTGATGCCCTGGCTGGTATAGCTCAGTGCACTGGGCATCATCCTGCAAACTGAAAGGTCACTGGTTTGATTCCAGGTCAGGGCACATGCCTGGGTTGTGAGCCAGGCTCCCGGTTGCGGGTGTTTAAGAGGCAACTGATCGATGTTTCTCTGGCACATCAATGTTTCTCCCCCCCTCTTCCTCTTTCTAAAAATAAATAAATAGAACCTTAAAAAGAAAGAGATGTCTGAAGGTCAAGAAGTCTTCAGGAAACAAGGCTCTGATGGTGGCATGTCATAAATGTGACAGGCGATGAGAGAGGAAGCTGGGGTTGGGCTGTGAGAACTCCCCAGTCTCTGGTTGGGGGTCAGCTCAGCCAAAGTGCCAGGCCCACGTGCCTTTCTATGTCTTGGTTTCCCATCAGTTGTCTTTTAAAATCTATGCAACTGAGAGCGAGAAGGGCCGGAGGGACGGGCCACCCAGGTGGAAGAGTCCTGGCCATCCCCGATACACCGCCTGGTCTCCAGTCTCCTTGACGGCGGACCCCCTGGAAAGGGAATCTGTGCCTTAGCTTTCACAAGTAGTTCAGGGGCCTAACTGAACAAGCGGGGCACAGGACGGGCGGGCAAGTGCTGTGAGGCACAGGCAGGCGAGGACCGGCCCTGTCATGCTGCTCGTCCGAAGGGCACTGTCCCCATTTCTCCACAGGGGCCTTCTGATTTCAAAGTCAGCACACGATTTTATGGCCTGTGTGTGGTCTCCCAGACGGGTGAGACCCTGAGAACTTTAGCACTAATGAAGGACTCCTCGTCTCGTCTGAGCGGTGTTCCTACTGCCCTTGTTCCGGTGCACTAAGCAGAGCCGGTAGGGAGCTGAACAGGGGCGGGTTTAGGAGATGAGCACCTGCCCCCTACATGTGGTCTGTGGGAAGACAGGAGGTGTGAACCCTCAGTCCCAGATATAATTTCTGTGTTTTGACTTGTTCATCAGAACAGACACCATGGCTGATGACGACTATTACGTAGACCCTGGGCTCTTCAATTCTTCCCTGAACAACAGCCAGGAGCACACATACTTCCTGCAGTTCAGAAAGATCTTTCTGCCCTGCATGTACTTGGTGGTATTTGTCTGTGGCCTGCTGGGGAACTCTCTTGTGCTGGTCATATACATCTTCTACCAGAAGCTGAAGAGCCTGACAGACGTGTTCCTGGTGAACTTGCCCCTGGCCGACCTGGTGTTCATCTGCACTCTGCCCTTCTGGACCTACGCGAGCATCCATGAGTGGGTCTTTGGCCAGATCATGTGCAAAATCCTGCTGGGCATCTATACTTTGAACTTCTACACGTCCATGCTGATCCTCATCTGCGTCACTGTGGACCGCTTCATTGTGGTGGTCCAGGCCACCAAGGCCTACAATGAGAAGGCGAAACGGACGAGCTGGGGCAAGGTCATGTGCCTGTCCGCCTGGGTGGTCTCCCTGCTGTTTTCCTTGCCGCAGATCATCTACGGTGATGTGGAACATTTGGACAGGTACATCTGTGGTTACCACAAAGAGGAGATTTCCACTATGGTCCTTGCCATCCAGATGACCCTGGGGTTCTTCCTGCCACTGCACGTCATGATTGTCTGCTACTCAGTCATAATTAAGACCCTGCTTCGTGCCCGAGGATTCCACAAACACAGATCTCTCAAGATCATCTTCCTGGTGGTGGCTCTGTTCCTGCTGACCCAGATGCCCTTCAACCTGGTGAAGCTCATCCGCAGCACGAGCTGGGAGTACCACAGCATGCCCAGCTTTCAGTATGCCATCATCGTCACTGAGGCCATCGCCTACCTACGGGTCTGCCTTAACCCTGTGCTCTATGCCTTTGTTGGCCTGAAATTTCGAAAGAACTTCTGGAAGCTTGTGAAAGACATCGGCTGCCTCCCTTACCTGGGAGTCTCGAGGCAGCGGGATTTTTCAGAGACCACTTCCAAGACGTGTTCTACCTCCCACCAGGCGGAGGCCACCAGCATGTTCCAGCTTTAGGCCTGGCCAGGCTTGGAGAAGCGACTCAGAAACTGGCAGGAGCAGGGCTGTGTCCTCTGGATGCCACAGGGAAGGCTTTGTATATAGGTTGCACATTTTCATGGAGCTATAACCAAATGCTATGGCTGGTGCGGAATGCTTCTTCTCAGGTGTGAACACATCTGTTCTTTCCTTGAACATGCAGGCCTGAAGCTCAAAGGGGAGCCTGAAGACTGTAAGGAATTTCCTTCTTCCATCCCCAAGAATTCTGACCCCAAGGGGAATGACGTGTGACTCTAAAAACCTCAGATCCTCTTCCACTGAGACCTAGACTGAAGGATGAAGAGGGGGACATGGCCAACAGAGCTGCCGATAGCAGGTGACACTCTTGAGCTCCCAAGTTCAGAAGGTTCTTCTGGCTCCTGGGAGGCAGAGGAGCTGAACGCAGCCGAGAAAACGAGTGCAGGTCAGCAGGGCTCAGGCCTCAGTCACCTCACAAATGAGACCAGGTTCTGCCTCAGCGAGGGGTCTGACTTTTACAAAGGCAGGCGTTTTTGTCCTTGGAGACTATCCTAGAAGGAATAGCACCAGGGAATAGGAATGGGTCAAAACGGATTAGTTGGCTGAGGTTCCAGCGATCCACAGAATGCTATAAAACTGCACTAAAACTGATAGCAGAGTTTAAGGTCCTCATGAATCTAAGGAGTGTTTCTGAAATGGATTCTTTGGTGTGTCCGCTCACTTTAAAACTGAATTATCCTCTGCCTTTCCCACACATGCGTGCACAGATCCTTTATGTATGCATGTATATATATTCTTACACACATATATCAAACAGCATATGGTTTTCATGACTAAGAAATAAAGCTTTTTAAAAGTTTCCAAACCACTTTTATCCCTTGCGCACCTTCTACTTTAATGTGGTATGCCTGGAATACATCAAAAGAGATTATTTGTGGGCTCAGAGCACAAGAAATAAGTTAAAATTGCAAACTTTCAGGGCACTGCTCTACCAAGGAAGTAGAATACACTAGTTAAAAAAAAAACAAGCTCCTTCACTGTGGTTTCCAACCTCCTGCTCAAAACGTGAGGTGCATTTCCTTAATCTCCGTATCGTGGTGACAGAATGAGGCAGAGTTTAAAATATCAGACACTGGCGCATGTTTGGAAGATCCTAACTGTCTGCTTACCACGCTTAAAGTTGCCTTTTTGATTCATGTGTCACGAATCACTCATCAAAATCAGGAGAACCAGCTGACAACAGGGGACGTGGGTTAGAACTGGCTGAATAATGCGGTTTTGAGGTTTGAGATGGACCAGAGTTAAATCCCAGCTTCGCCCCTTATTAGCCGGTAAACAGTCGGTAATCTCGTCACCTCTTCCGTTGTGGCGGAATGCGGAGCGTACCGGCACCCGCCTCTCAGGGCCGGCGTGCAGACCTGAGGTGCTGCGCACAAAACTCTCAGTGCAGTTGCATTCATGGGTGGGAGGGCTCTACGATGGCAGAAGTTACTGTTCTTTCTCCAAGAACTAGCAATACTCCTCAGCCCTAAGGAAAGGTGGAATACTGCCATTTGGATGGATCTTAAGAGTGTCATGCTAGGCAAAGTCAGTCAGATGGAAAAGCACAAGAATCGTGATTTCACTCATTAGGTGGGAAATAAAACAGAAAGCAACAGTGAATGAACAAAAGAAACTAACCAGCCCTGGCCGGGTGGCTCAGTTGGCTGGAGCGTTGCCCTGCACACCGGGAGGCTGGGGCTGATCCTCAGTCAGGGCGCATGCCCAGGTTGCGGTCAGACCCTCCAGCGGGGGCACCTGCAGGAGGTAAGTGAACGATGTTTCTCTCTCTCCCCCTACCCACCACCTAAAATCAATAAATACATCCTTGGGTGAGGATTTAAAAAAAGGAATAAAACATCCACTGACACAGACAACACCATGGTGCTTAGCAGAGATTAAGGGGTGTGGGGTGTGGGGTGTGGTCGAGGAGGGGATGGAAGGGGGCCACGTGCATGTCAATGGAAGGAGACTAGTCTCGGGGCGATGGGCACCCAGCGCAGTACACAGATGATGTGCTAGACAACTGCACACTTAAAACTTACATAATCTCATAAGGCAGCGTCACCAAGTAAGTTCTTTAAAAAAAGAACAAAGAACTAATAACAAAACAGAAGCTGCCGGAGTTGGCGAGGCAGGGGGCGGTGGGCTTTGCCTCCCGGAGGGGCATGGCGTGCCCCTGGTCCAGCCAAGCGCAGGCCGGGCCCTGCAGGGCCCACGTGGCCCTCCTGTCATTTCACAAACGAGCCTACGCATCCACAGGGAGAGTGACTTTACTGTACTCAGGTAGCGCGGACCACAGAGTCCACCATCAAACAACAAAATCTGCCCTCTTCCTGATGACGAGGCCAGCTTCTTCTGCCTCTAAATTTGCTTCAGTGGGAGAGCCTGCCTTCTGCCTTTTGCATTCACCTTCACGCAGAGCGCCTGTGACCAGAGGGGCCACTAGCCCCTGACTCCCTGACAGTGTTTCGCCCAGGAGGCAGAGGCCCTAACCGGGGAGCGCAGCGAGGAGTTGGGGGGTCCAGGGCCCTGCAGCCTCTCCGCAGGTTCCTGCAGCGGAAGCTGTGCGGCGCGGCGGGAAAAGCAGGACTCCAGGTCACTCAGGCATGGGCTCCGTGACAGCTCCGCGCCTGTGTACCCTTGGGAAAGCTATGCAGCCTCCTCAGGCCCGAGTCACCGCCCGCCCCACTGGCTACCAGGAGGGCTTGTGAGGCACGATGGCACACTCTGAGGGCCACTCTCAGGCTGCCTGGCCACGGCGACACAGGGGCAGCTACGGGGACCCCCAGCTTCTCCCTGGCCGGGTGTCTGCCTGGCTGAGTCAAATGAGACCGGGCGCCCGCCAGTCCGCCCCCGACCTCCAGCCTGTTTTCTCTGCGCTCTCCAGGCCCCGCAGCTGAGGAAGCCTGCCTGCCCACAGCCAGCCTTCCCCCACCTTCCTGCCTCATCAGTCACCCACTGCTCCTCCCCCTCACCAGCAACACCTGGGAGTAGATAGGACTTTCCAGCTCCTCCCCTGGGTGCACACCATCGTGACTGGCAACAGACATGGGCACAGCACATATGTGTCACGGGGCTTTTGTGTGTTGACTTCATTCCATCCACACCACAGCCATGAAGTCTAAGGTCCCTTCCTTAGACCTGCCCTGCTCCCCTCCTCGGTCCTCCCCTCAGCTAACACACACCAGCCCATCGTGTAAGAGGCCTGGGGCAGGGGAGGAAGGGGCAGGCCGGGTGGGGACCCTGGTTGAGCCCAGTCTGCTTTGGGTGTGGCCTCAGAGCCTGAAGGTAAAGAAAGTGCTCCTCCCTGACCATGTTTCCAATGCTTGGTAGAAACCAGCGGTGATGTATTGTCCCATGTGAACACGGAGGCTGCCCGGGAGAGGCCCAGGTGATCTCCACCAGCGGTCTGGACTGAGGGAATCGTGCTGTGGGAGGGAAGACCCCACAGCTGCCCTATGGGGGTGGCGGAAGGGAGGGTGCAGAGTGGAGGCAGAGCAAAGAAGACGAGGCCCAGAGTGGTCAGGGCGCTCCTTTGAGCCTTCTCCTGAGAGGGGCTCTCAAGGTGGCACCCCCTTCCACGTGCCCAGTCCATGGTTCACGGGAATAGCCACCATGGCCCTGCAGATGACAGAGCTCTCTCTGCGAGACCAGTATGTGCCAAAGCTTACGCCACAGACCCAGGGCTAGGACCCCAGGGAAGAACCTCTTTCTCTGCCACCAAATGTTGGTAAGATGTTTCAGACCGGTCAGGCCCACGGTACCTGCCAGCTCTACTCATCGGAAGGCAGGGATGGTGAGTTAACCCAAGCATGAAGTGGCTTTCTAACCTTAACCATTATCACCATATCCTGTTCTCATTTTGTTTCTGACATACCAGGTGCCAAATCTCCTGGTCGGTGACAAACCCACCACAGGTCCCAAAAGCAGCTGATCACGAAGCATCAGTTCTAAAGTCATCACTAGCAGAGATGCTCTATGGGTAGAGACAGTCTGTGAGTGAAAGTTCATCATCACCTAGGCACCTGGAATGGTTTTCCTTGGAGAAGACAAGTGGGCGAGGTCCCAGGACTGGACACACAGCGGCAGACGCGCACAACTCAGCTCTATACAACACAATGCAGGCAAAACGTCATGAGAACAACACACCTCCAGGGAAGGCTTCCTGGGTGCAGGCACGGGGCTCAGCACTTTGCACACACTGTTCCTTTCCAATCCTAAGAACCCTGGGGGTGGGTGCTGGCCCGTCTCTTCGGTGCAGGTGGAACCTGCAGGTGGCAGATCAGGACCTGACCGGGGCGTCTGATTCTGGAGCTCAAGCTCTTCATCTCTACTCTGTCTGTTTGGTGATCACCAGGGGAGGCCAGGCCTCCAGGAAGCCACGCCTGGTAGAAGCTGAGCAGAGGCCAAGGGGTCCAAGGCCCAGCCCCAACAGGGCTTTCTTTCCTCTTTTGCCTGCCACCTCAGACCTGAGGGCACCAGTGAGCAAGGCGGGGGGGCCTGGGTGGGTGACTGTGGGCAGTGTACACAGCCACGTCTGGAAGGTTCTGAAGAGTATCATGTATCGCCTCTTCCTGTCCCCCCGCTACCAGGAGGGGCAAGACCGACAGCTTCGTTAGCCCTGAGAATGAGTACGTGCGGGGAGGAGGGGCCACGGGGGCAGGGGAGCCGGGCAGGTGTCTGCTGTGCAGATGGGGAAATAGGGACCTGGCCAAGAGAGCTGCTCTCTCCAACATGGATCCTGTGGGCTGCAGGGAGCAAGTTCTCTGGCCTCCTGAGGCTTCAGACCTTCACCTGAAGTGAAGTGGGGATCATAACCCCAGTCTGTGAAGGGCTGGGTGGGACCAAGTGAGGCCACATGTAAGGGCTGCTGGCCCAGGGATGTTGCTCGACAGAGTGGCCTTCCCCCACATGGCTCCCAAGCAGCCTTCCTTCCCCACGTATCTGGACTCACAATGTTTAATTCCCCCGGGGCCACTTCTGACTTTGGACTTGCTGATTTCTTTTTCTAAGTTTACTGGACTTACACACATCCTGGACTCTACACCTCCAATTTTCTTGGGACTCCTGGTGTTTTTGACTGGTTTGAAACCCGGGAAGAAAGAGGATATAAGAAAAGGCTCCCAAAGATGCTTGGGTCTGCCCCTAGTTAACGCACCGGGAGGGCGCGTCATGGGGCAGGCCCTTAACGGATGCGGAGTACTGGCTCTTCACCCCAAAACAGGGGCGGCAGGTTCTGCCGATCAGACGCGGACCCACCTTGCAGGCTGTGGGCCGACACTCTGGCAGCTTCCTTCCCGGGGACACTTCCTGATTTCCCATGACGGAAACACGCGCACACGTCGGCTGTCAGAACCTCTTCTGTTTTTGTTCTTACAGGGCAATGGGGAGGCGAGGGAAAGGGGGCTACAGGAGGATCACGTTGTCACATGGCCGCCGCCGCCGGCTGCCCTCCCAGGCCCCGAAGCTCAGTCCTGCTCCCCTTACTACCACCTGGCTGGGAGTTGAGGCGCTGTCAGGAAAGAACTGTCTGGTGGTGACAGCAGGGTGACTTAGAGCTAATGGCACGGAACATGCTCTGGGGACCCCTGGGCCATGGGGTGGGGGACACTGCTGCAGGCTGATGCAGTCAGGGAAGAATTCTGAGGTGGCAGTTCCCAGGAGGAACAGAAAAGACCAAAAGTCACAGCAGCGACAGTGAGCAGGGGCTTTCTTGGGTTGAGTGATCAGGGTGGCTTTCTCCAAGGGACCATGGCATGGTCAGTACACTCACTCTCTAGTAAGAGACACAGGATGTGGAGGGACACCTAAGCCTAAAATCCTGTGTCAAGAGCCCCATGGAGATTAAATGCATCACTGCCCATGCAGCAGAAATCCTAGGTGGCAAATCTGACAGGTCAAGCCAAGCCCGCCTTCCAATTCTGTGCAGGAAGAGAGGAATAGAGATTTCCATACAAGTCAGCAAGAGCATCACAAAACTCCCCAACTGGACAGAAGGTGTGTCAAGAAACACCTGGCCCTGGGAGCCAGGTTGGTTCTTTGTTGAGCTTCTGAACCGCCAGCGCTTTGCCGGGGAAACTGCATTCAGGCTGCCGTGGAGGGGTCCCGACCTTTTCCTATGGGTCCCAAGGCATAAACTCTGGACATTTAATGTGGTGGCACTCAGTTCAGTTACTGCATAATTGTTTAAAAGTTGGCAACACTCTCCTCACAAACCTTGGAACAACTAGCCCAGAAGACCGAGGCGGAGGTGGGGCCGCAGAGAATAAGCACTAAGGGGTGCACTGTGGGGTCGTCAGCTGTCATCTACAGCATGAGAGCAGTTTGGGGGGCCGGGTCCCTAATCACAAGCAGCACAAGACAGCGGTGAAGGGCCTGGCCTGGGCTTGGGGACCGGAGGGCTCCCTGGCCCCCGCAGGGTACAGCTAACAGGCCTGCCTGTGTGCTTCTTGCTTTCCGAACCCTGGGGCCTCAAGGGGTTTCTCAGAAGCTAATGGGGCTTCTGAGAGAACCCATCCACCGACTAGTGACATGGAACACGAAACCCCAGCTTCCTTTCTCACGGCCTCGGCGCCCTGCCTGATCAGTGGTCCCAAAGATGAATGGACCCGTTAAAGGGCAACGCACGGCCGGGCACGGTGGAGGGCCGCATGGCGGGGGCCACTCTCATGGGCTGAAGCGGCCCCCTCACATTCACGGTGACGTCCTAACCCGCAGTACTTCAGAATGTGACCGCATTTGGAAGTAAGGCCTTTAAAGAGCTTAGTGAGAATGAGACCCATAGGGTGGGCCCCCATCCAACCCGAGCGGTGCCCTTGTAAGGGGAGGAGGTGGGCCCCAGGTCCCAGGCGCACGTGCACAACTACGTGCAGAGGTACAGTTGTGGTCTGCATGTCAGGGACAGAGGCCGCAGGGGAAACCAAACTGCTGACACCTTATCTGGACTCCCTGTCCATAGAACTGTGAGCAAATAAATTTCTGGCATTTAAGCAGTTGACATAGTTGCCCAAGCCAAGAAAGGCCTTCATTAACGCTGGAATCAGGGGACCAATGACAGTCCCGGGGGCCTCCGACCACCACGCGCCCTGGTGCTCGCTGAGGGCCTTCCCATTCCAAGCGCTGTTCCAAGGCACCGTCCTTTAAGCAGAGACAGCTGATCCTGCTTCCAGCCTGCCTGGCCCCTTTGATAAGGATGCACAAGGGCCAGGCATTCGATGAGCACTTGAGAAACGGAGGTGACATCTACTCACTGTTCGGCCACGTTTGGGTCAAGAGAATCGGTCTCAGTGGGTGTTTCAGGCAAGGAGGAGCCGGACTCCTGTATCTGGCACAACTCCTCGTCTGTGATGATGTCAAACATGGTGTCGTCTGGGGACCTGAAGTCTGTGATCGCGCCTGGACCACAGAGGCAGATCAGGAGAGAAGAGAAATGCATCCGGTTATGCACGGGACAGGGAGAGCGCCTCGGGGAGGCGGGGGAGCGCAGCTACGCAGGACAAGCCACCAGGACACACTGGGTGGTCACCCCGCTGACAGCTCTTCGGCCCAGGTGTGCGAGGAATGGCTGTTGGGACACGCCAGGGGAGCAGAGTGGGGACTACAGGTGAAACTGAGTGCCAACTTGAGAGATTCCTCCCAAGCCCTTTGGTCGGGGCCCCGGAGAGGTGCCAAGACCTTCTTTCAGGCCTCTGGTTTAGAAGGGGGCAAAAGTGTCAAAGCCTCGCCTGGAAAGACCCTGACAGGAAAGCAAGCACACCTCTGTGCTGCCGAGCCCTCGCTCCCTCACACACTTCCTACTCGCGCCTCTTTGAAAATAGGATTCAGCCTGCCCTGCATTTTGATCCCAGTCCACTGGGGCAGGGCGGGGACGGGGGGTGGGGCAAGGGCCCTCCAGCTGCTCAAGGAGCGGTAACAACCGCTGTGTTCCTGACCAGGGAACCTGTGTTTGGCTTTGTGGGCCGCACAGCAGAAAGGATGCTGTATGCGTGCTCCTGTGCCCGTCACCCGCCTACGAGCACTTTCCTGCATATGTCACGGAAAAAATGACAACAGGTCTGAGGTGAAAAAAGAAGATAAAGAATGACAGAAAGAGGGGAAGGCAGACAGACAGAAGAGGAGACAGGATATGTCAGAATCAAAACAAGAGCCCTCAGCACTCTGGCACAGCGCTACGCTCTGTGGTCACTAGAACACAGGCTGATGAGTCGGGGGGGGCAAAAAGAAGATCCCACTTCGCAAGCTACGAGTTCCCAGCTGGCCTGCCACAAGGCCACTGGGGTGGGCTGCGTTTTAGAAGAAAACTTCTTCCTCTTGTCTGAGGCTACAGAATGAAGGGGTTGAGGTGCAGGCTAAAAAAAGGGACCAGTTGTTCGTTTTTTTGTATAGACCGAGGCACAGATGAGCATCCGGAGTCCAAATTGATGTCCACTGAGCAAACTCAAAAAAAGACCATAATAGATGGAGAGCTATACTATGTTTGTGGATTGGAAGACTCAACTGATTTCTGACAAAGATGCAAAGGCAATTCTTTAGGAAAAGAATGCACTTTCCAACCAATGGCAGTAAAAACAATTAGACAACAATATCAAAAAAAACCCCAAAAAACCCACAACTCTCTATTAATAGTTTACACTATACAAAAAATGAACCCAAAATGGACCATAGCCTTGACCAGTGTGGCTCAGCGGGCTGGGGGGGTGTCATTCCACAAAGCAAAAGATCGTCACTTAAACTCCAGTCAGGGCACATGTTTGGGTTGTGGGTTCAATACCTGGACAGGACGTGTATGAGAGGTAACTGATCAATGTTTCTCTCTCACATTGATGTCTCTCTCCTCTCCCTCCCTTTCTCCCCACCTTCCCCTCTAAAAATAAATAAATAATAAAATCTTAAAAAAAAAAAAAAAAAAAAAAGGGGTCACAGACCCAAAAGTGCAACCTGAAACTATAACACTTCTAGGAAAAAATAAATCTTTGAGTCCTTGGGTTAGACAAAGATACATATAGTACACAAAGAAAAGGGAAAAAATCGATCCATGAAAAAAAATGGAATGGATTTCATGAAAATTATAAACTTCTGCTCTTTGAAAGAAAATGAACACAGGTTATAGATTCAGATAAAATATTTGTAAAACACATTACCTGTAAATAGCTTGTATCCAGAATATATAAAGGACTTCCAAAATTCAATAATTAAAAATATTTTAAATGAGCAAAACATATGGAGAAATAGTGAAGCTGTGCAAACAGACTCCCCCACCCCTGAGCAGCTCTTTATACCCAATATGGGTAACGGGGCCCACCAACCCCCTTGACGATCCAGTTAAACGGAGGAGGAACTATTCCTGATGGTTGGCTGCCCTGGACCCAGGCAAAGGCCAGGGAGGAGTCCCCAGGGACCAGAGCCGGGGCAGTGTCGCTGGAGCAGAGACGAGGCTCACCTCCGCCCTTCCCGCATCAGCCCTGCCGCCCGGGCACCCCCGCCAGCCAGGCCCCGAGAGGGCAGCCAGGGCTGCTCAGCGAGGTGGTGCTGGGGGCAGGAGCAGCGGGCACCCAATCCTGCTCCCTTTTACTGCTCCAGGTGGAAGGACACGAAGGAGAACACACCCTCCTTGGCCACTGAGAGAGAACGTGAGCCGCAGGGGGAGTGGAGGGTAATGGTCGTTTCCAGACATCACTACCGGCCTTTGGTTACTCCGGGAGGGGCGGAATGTCGGTGCATCTCCTGAGCGCGGGGTGCGGTCCACTGGTAGTATGTGAGCTACCTCATGCTCCCCACGCTGAATCACACCAAGAGAAAGTTATACCCTTTTCAATTTTCGTTCAGTCCTAATAGAACAAAAAGTCTCAAATTGGTAGCACTCGATTTTTAGCACCTCTTCAGAGCCTAGGTTTGGACAACACTGACTTGAGCTGGTTACAGCTGACTAGCCAAGACGGGGCGGTGGTGTGTGTGTGGGGCGGGGTGGGAGGGTGTGGCTGGCACCTAGGGAACACTGAGGGCAGTGGCAGGAGCCTGACCTTGGCCTTCGGGGGCCTGGAGTCCGGCCTGGGCTGGTGACAGGGTGGGGCTGGGCTGCCCTTGACTGGTGCCTGAGCTGGTGCTGTTGGGGGAGCCCGGGCCTTCGCCGAGCTTCTGGAAGCAGGCTCGGCAGCAGCGCTCCTTCTTGCCCCCGGGCTTTGTCACGATGTAGTTGCTGCAGCAGTAGTAGCAGAAGCTGCGGCCACAGATCCTGGGGACGAAACAAGCACGGCTGTGAGGCTGTATGTGATCTGCTCGGCCCCGGAGGGGCTCTGCGCTGGGTTCTGGATGCCACATGGCCCTTGTCACACCTGGCTCTGCCCCTACTTCAGAGTGTGGCCTTAAGGCCCATTTGGTAAGATTCCAGTAAAGCCATCCTAGGAAGCTCAGTGGGAGAATGTTTCACTTCCTAAGGCCGTGGAGGGCCGGGGGATGAAGCGTGTGGCCAGGACCACCTTCCTTGACATGAAGATCCGGGTGGGGCCGAGGCCCTGAGAGATAACAGGCTTCCCCTCTGCTCTGGCCACAGCCCGAGATTCATTTCTGCCTCCCCTTCTTTGGGCCCTAGCGGGTCCTTGTTCTCTGTGTTCTTCCAGGGAAGCCTCAGCCCCCATTCTCCTCGGGTTCGAGTAGCACCATTTCCCTCCTGGTCCCTGTGGGCCAAGGGAGGGCCCAGGGCTGCTGGGCTCTGGGTGCTCCACATCCTCGTGGGTCCCCTTAACTCCACCCACACGTCAGTATTAAAGTCTCTCCCCCTTCAGGGATCCCTGAGTGTCCTGCCATTACCCTGCCTAACACACCCTCCTTGCCCAGGTCCCTTACAACCAAAAAGCACTGTGCTCTTTGAAGGCAGCGGCCTCCACGCTAGCGCCTGCCAGAGCTGTCTGTCTGTGCTGGTTCTGGGCCCTGGCGGGGCCGGTGCTGGCTGGCGAGCTGCCGCTGACCTGCAGTGGTGCCGCCGCACCATCCAGCTGAATTCCCGCTTGCAGTCAAGGCAGTGGCTCGCCTCTGCATCCCCGAGCAGCTTCTCCTCAGCACGGAGCTTCTGCTGGAACTCCAGGGCATCTGACTTCTGCCAGAGAGCATCCTTGTCCCTGGGACAGAGACACATCAGGAAAAAAGAAAGGATCCATGAAAACAAGAGCTTCTTTTCAAAAGACCGACTCCAGATTTCCCAAGGCACAGAGGGAAAATTCACTTTTACCTTGGACACATGTCCCACTCTAGGTTTCCTCTGTCACCACACATCAGTCCTAGACTCAGTAGGACCCTCCCAACAGGCAGGCCCTTAACTGACACCACATGTGAAGGCAGAGAGGTGGCCTGTGATGTAAATAAAAGGCTCTGGCAACCTCCAAGAGTGGCCAGCATGGACAAGGGCAACACATTGCTCAGGTACCTAAAGTGACAGTGCATAAGGCCACCGTGAATTTAAGCTACAACATGCTGTCAGATTACAGGCCAGTGTGTGTGCTACGAACCCAAGGACTGCAAACGCAATGCCCACTCAAATCTTAAGTGTGCTCTGGACCGTTATGTTTTCATGGTTTACGGTTCCAGTAACCACTAATCATTGCAGGAGATCAAAGATGTCCCAGCCTGAAAATCTGATGGGATGTTCATCCCCACCAGCTCCTCCAAGGATGGAAACCACTCCAGGAAGCAAGTCTGAAAGAAGCGGAGGCTCTTAAAAAAGGTCTGACAGTGTCCAAATACGCCCGATATACCAGAGAAGATATGTACAGAGACTTCCTTATTGCTGCTAGCGGTCATTGTTGGGGTTTATGGCTTCTGACATAAGAAGGTTTCATTCTTTCCTGGAGGGAACCCCAGCCACGCCCTGAGGGTTCACGTGGCCCAGCTGCACCTCAGCCCCTGGTGGCCATCACCAGAGCCACTTAGGTCCTGAGGGAAACAAGTTCCACCACCAGCCAGGGACTCCGCATCAACTTCAGACCGGTCCCGCTAAATCCAAAAGCCAGAAAATGGAATTGATTGGCTTTTTAAGCACATGTGACATTGTCAGGAAGTAGGGAGACTCATTCTTTGGACCAGCTCTTCTCCTGACTGGTGCACAGTTTGTCCTTTCTGTCCGAGGGGGCTGGGCATCCCCACCCCGGGGGTGTGGCAATGCCGTAAACCTGGGATTTTCTGTCACACACCTCGGGAAGGTGTCTGTGCTCAGAGGTCAAGGGCCTGAGTTCCAAGCCTGCAAACTGATGACATGGGGCAAAGCTTTTAAACTTCTACTTTAGTATCACCATTTTGCAACCCCAGATAAATTATTAGGTCTAGCGCTGCTTATCTGTGGCTGCTCACATTCAAAGAAAGGGCTAATCAGATCAATGTGGCTCTTAAAGGAAAGAACCGGAACTGTAATCCAAATCTACGAAGCGTTCTGGCCAAAAGTTGGAACCCCAGTCTGAGCGAGCCTCTATTAGAGCAGTAACCTCAACTCTTGCTCACTGATGTCGGGAACCCACTCCCAGAAATTCCAATTTGGTTGGTCTGGGTGGGGCCTGGATTTTTTTTTTTTTTTAATAGCTCCCCTCATGATTCTAATGTGCAGTCAGGGCTGAGAAAGCCCTGCTCTAACTATTGATTTATAGGAAAAGACAACAGTTGGCAGAACATGTTAGATGACACCATGGGGATGCAATCAGCAAAATCCAGGCTACAGGAAGCTCCATCAGGCAAAGAAAAAAATAGTTAAGGGAGATGGTGGGGAAACCCACAGACTAAAGAGATCTAAGGAAAATATCACCATGCAATGCATGGATCTAATTTAGATCCTGCTTAGGAAAAACTGACAGGCAATTGAAAAAATCTGAAATCGACTAAGAAACTTAAGCAAGGCGATGGTGTGATGATTGTTTAAAATGGAAAGAGAAGTACGGAAACAGTGGAGGATGAAGTGGTATCTGGGGTTTGCTTCACAACAACCTGGAGAGGTGGGGGAAACGGGTGGGACGCAGGACGACGCAAGATGGGCCGTGAACCGCATGATGCGTAAGCGCGGGAACACGCACACAGGGGTGGGTCATGCTATTCTATTTCTGTATATTTAAAAATTTCCCTATGAAATATTTTTTAGAAATTTTAACAACTTGCCAGTGTTTAAAAGTTAGAACAATTTCACATTAAAAAAAAAAAAAAAGCAAGGTTTCCACCTTCTAAGAATTAGGGTGGCTCCTTGGGGCTCGATGTCTGTGTGGCAACAACTGGCAGAAGGGTGTGCGCTTCGTCCTCACGTCTCCAAGTGCCCTCTGGGCCCGGTTCACACATCTACATTTGTCGCCTGCTCCTTGCACTCAGGTCTGGGGACCTGGTGCTGGGGACCGTGTGATGGAGAAGGAGAAGAGGGCTCGTGGAACAGGGGAAGGGAAGGCAGAAATTCCATAAAAGAAACATCGCTTACTGTCACTTGAGGCGAAGCACACAGAGGTTCTGAAAACATTACAGCGCAACATGAAAACACTGACCCGGTGAGCACTTGTGGGAACGCTGAGGTCCACTCTTAAAGGTTGCCAAGGGCTTGAGCAGAACCTGTTCGTGGGGGTGGGGGGTGTGTGTGTGTGGTGGGGGCGGGGCCCTAACAACAGAATGCAACAGATGGGGTGGCAGAGGGGGCATTTCCCCCTGAAGAGTTCTTTTAAAAACAGCTGCACTTCTTTTGAAGAAAACCCGAGCTTGGGGGAAAATGCCAGCCACCGGCTTATCCCGGCACACCCCAGCACTCACCTGAGCAGCTCTATCAGCCGCTCCTCCAGGTACTTCTTGGTTCTAGTCAGGTCATCCAGGTCTGCCAGCAGCTTCTGATCATTCTTCTCCCGGTCTGTCACTTCCTGGCGGAGTTTGCTGCAATACTCTTGGATTTCTGTCGTGGCCTTTTCAAGTTCCTTCTGGGTCCTGGGGGAGGAGGGTCAGTTTTCCTGATTACTGGCTCCTTCCTGCTTCGCCTGTGCCTCCAGGCTCCCCCAGGCCTCTAATGAGGGGGTCCCACTGCCCACCCAGCCTTTCCCCTTCACGGCGAAGGGGTCTCTTGGCACTACCTGCTCACAGCTGATGCCCTCCCCTAGCCTTGAAGACCCCCTCACACCTCCAAACTCTTCACCCTCCCCCCACACACCAAACACAAGGGGCATTCTGGGAAAGCAGGTAACCTCAGGTCACTCGGAGCACCGCAGGTCGAGGTGCACTCTGCGCAGGCACTGAGGTTATGAGAGGAGCCTGCAGGGCAAGGCTCAGGGGCTGGTGATGGGGGGATCTGCAAGGGGAAGAGGAGTCGGGCCAGGAAGGACAGAGGGGCACAGCTTCCTGGAGGTGACCACCCAGAGGAGTCTTCCATGTGTCTCTGTGACTCTGTACCCGGGGCACAGTGCTGGCACACAGCTGGCACGCCACCTGCACGGCCTGCTGTGCTACCCAGGAACCTGGCCGAGGACGCCGGTTGGGCGAGGCTGGGCCCCGGCCCCTGCCTGCCCCGCTTGCAGCTCAGCTATCCCCCAAGGCAGTGGTTTTCCCAGGACTCCATCAAGCCCACGGCTCAGCAAGATGTTTGAAAACGCTCCAGTAAACAGAGATCTCTGCAGAGAAGAACTTGCATCTCATCGAGTATAATGCTGTTAAGAGACTGTTTACTAGAAATTGTCCACCGAAATGATCTCATGGGTACACACACACACCACCATGGTTTATTTGCACAATGAGCAACATAAATCCAGTCTTGGACGGATGGATTATGCAACTCTGAGCCGCTAGAACAATGGCTTTGAGACCTCACACATAATCACTGTTACAGCATTTAAAAAAAACCACACCACCAACTTCGGACGTTCTATGTGAACTGCCATGTGAACGTGGCCTGGCTAATGGCAGCCAGGGAGAGTCCGATGAGCAAAGTGCACATCCAGGGAACCGCACATGCGACAGGCTCCGGATTTCCCACGGGGCTGGGGTCCAGGCCTCAAAGGAGGGTACGGGCGTGTTGAGGGGTGGGTAGAAAAGTGAAACCCTCGGCACAACTCGGGGTGCCTGCCTTTGTGGGGGGCACACATGCAACTCAGTCCTCGCATCTCCTGCTAAACCTGTTTTAACCAGGCCCCGGCTGGACTAGCTTGGCTCCATCAAGAGACGGCGGCCTTTGCTCACAACTCCAGGTGGCCCCGAAGCCTGAAGGCAGGAGGCTCGGGAAAGCCTGGGCGCTGGCTGCACGTAGGCCCGTAAAGTAAGGTTAAAAAAAGCCACGATGAAAGGGTGACAGCCTGAGGTGCTCTCCACGGACGCAGCTCCGGAGAGGCTGCAGGAACACAAGCTGGTCCGGGTCCCCGGCGCTCTCACTTGCTCTCGGGACGAGCCGGGGAGAGCCCACACCTAACACAGCGGGGATGAGGAAGAGCTGCAGTCACCTCCCGAGCGGGAACACGCGCGCGCGCACATGCACACACACCGGTGCCCTGCGGTAAAGCGGAACACAAAACTATCTGTCTGTGTATTTTTAGGGTGGTTGTTGAGAAAACAGACTCTGGAGCCGAGTGGTCTGGGTTCCAGTCCTACCACCATCGCTTACATACTGTCTGACCTGGGAGGGTGGCTGCGCTCCTCGGAGCCCCACCTCCCTCCCTGTAACGTGGGGGCAAACAGCACCGGCCTCCTCAGACTGCCGGGAGGCGAAAGGGGGCAGCTAGATGTGAAGAACTTAAAAATGGTGCCTGCTCCACCTTCGCCGTTATTTGTTTGCTGTTATTATTACCATTATTGTATCCAAACTTTTACTTCCTGTTAGTTTTTCCAAAACATGACATTAGTGAACTGAAATACGCCCTGTCAGAGACAGGAAAGTGGAATTAGGAGAAAGGCCCTGCTGTCTACAGGGCTGTGACAGGTAGGTGGCCATGTTCTCCGTGCAGTGCTTCCGGCGCAAGCACCTCCTGAGTCTGTGGCTTTTCTCGAAAAAGGACTTCTTTACCTTCATATGAGTGGCTGACTTTCTAAATGACTGCACCCAACGCCCCCTCCCCGACAACTGCCGCCGGCCTGGTGAGGCCTGCAACTGACCTGTCCAAGTGCTGGCGCAGGGCGGCCCCCTCCTCGTCCTTCTTCAGCACGGCGGCCTGGCACTCCGACAGGTGCCTGCTCGTGCGGCTCAGCTCCTCTCCTGCGTCTGCCTGGGCGGCCTGGCGAAGGAGGCCACGGAGACAGTGGGCTTGCAAAAGCATGTCACAGCCACCACAGACGCCACCAAGTGACTGCTGTGCTCCCCACCCCACAGGGTGGGCCACTTCTAACTGGAGGGGCTTTTGTTTGTTTTGCAGTTCAAGAGGCCAAGGCCCTTTGTCTCTGTTTGTGGAGACTGATGCACACGCATTTGTGGTTATGGCCCTTAAGCAGCAACTGCAACTGATTGTGGTGGTTGTGGGGGCGGCTGGTATAGGCATCTCCAGGGTGGGAGTAGAGGTGGGTGGTAGGGAGCAGGATTCAGTTAAATAAGTCACTGGCCTGAAGACTGTGGTTTTAGCACCGCCCCTGTTACTGCTCAGTTCAGAGTCACTGGCCTAGAGAACGTCTGCAGAGATGACTAAGAAGGGCCACTGATTTCCTTTCCATAAGGCTGGGTGAAAGACATGTCACAGCTCCAGCCAGGTGTCCCAGGAGTGGAAAAGGACTGTGATACAAAACTCAGGACGACTGCGAAAGTGAACTGAGGACAGCATCAGCTTGGAACTGGGAGTCCTATAAGCAGCCCTTCCATGGTCCCATGAAAACTAGACCAGAGCTGCTCTCCCCTGACAGGGGCGCACACCAGGAGTGGACCTGGCCAGGCAAGAGGCCGCTGCACCGGTCCCTCCCGGCCCCACAGGAGGCCAGCTGCTGATCGGGGCCCCCGCAGGTGCCCTCCCCGGGGCCAGACCTACCTCCAGCTTCCCCACTGCCTCCTTGGCGGCCTGCAGCTGCCGGCCTCGCTCCTCCAGCTGGCCCCTGAGGCTCCTGCACTCTTCACTGGCAGTCTGGAGAGGACGAGAAAGGGGTCACAGAAGTGGGGTCCTTGATCTGAGACTCCCTCAGCTATGTCCCCCAAATGGGTAAAGAACAAGCTACCTCTCTCTTTTTGCCCCAAACTCAATAAGCTTTGGACTTCATTGGTAACAAAACCTTCATGCTTACTAAGACTTAGCTTGGTCCCAAAACAGAATTGCATTTCTGCAAGGGAAAAACTGGCCTCTGAGCCACAGAGCTGCATGGGATGGGATGGCAGGGTAGAGGGCACATCTGTGGAAACAAACACAATAGTTGCCTGAGAGCGACCTGAAAGTACGCAGACCTGGATACAAACAAACGATAAGCACTGGAAACCAAAGCTGTCCTCGCTCTTAATGCCTTTCCTTTGTGCAGCATCAAAGGCACGTGGTAACCGCTGCTCTCATCTATTCCAAGGGCCTGTGATAACTAATTGACTCAGTTCCCTCCAACTGCACCTGCTACCAGAATGGCACCTGAGGAGACAGAGAAGCTGGAGGCAGGACTCGAGGCAGCCAGGAGCTGCGGGTGTTCTGCAGTAGGTTCTAGAGGCTGCAGCAGGGGCCTCAAGCTCACATGCCCAAAAGGGCTGGGCAACTCCAAAGGGACAGCAACCAAAACAATGAGGGCGCCTGCCCCCTTTAACGCAGGCAGCCCCCAGCCAGCTCCTGCTGACCGCTGCCGCTCAGCAATGAGGGTGCAGGCTTTGAGATCTCGCAAGATTTCAAAAAAAGCACTTGAACTAAATTTGTGAAGATCCTGCTCTTTACATGTTGGCTGCTAATTAAAAAAAAAAAATATTCGGTGTGGGCCAAACTTTTCTGCAACGGTCTTGAGTTTAGACTTCTGGGCCAAGGCATCACTCCCAGCGCCAGGCCCCTAGCACTTCCTGCAGAGGGGACACTGACAGCAGAACAGGAGCACATTTGCCCGGGTCTTCAGGGCATCCTTGGGCCTTCATGTGTCACCTGGCTGAAGATGCGGCCTACACCCTCACGAACCCACCAGGCCCTGCTGTGGGAGACAGGTGCGCCCAATGGTCAGGGTAGGGTTACCTTAAGTTTACTCTGGTAGTCCATGATCTCGGCACTCATCTGGAACTTGAGGGTGTCGAGCTCCTGGCACGCAGTCTCCTGGAGGCTCTGGGCCCGCTGCTCGGCCTGGGCCAGCTGGTCCCGCAAGCCAGGCAGCAAGTGAGCTGCCTCCTCAGCCACCTTCAGCTTCTCCTGCAAGCTCTCCATCTCTTGCTGCAGCCCCGCCACCTGCTGTTGCAGGCCCTCTCGCTCCCTGGAGGCTGCCTCTTTGGCATCCCTGAGCTCCTGGACAGTGCGAGCCAACACGCCTTCCAGCCGCTCTTTCTCAGCAGTCAGTGCGCACACCTGGATGCCGAGCTCGGCGGTGTCCGTGTTGGCCCTGTGCAGCTGCTCCTGCAGCTCGGCGTGTTCCAGCTGTGCTTCCTGGGAGAGGCACTCGGCCTGAGACAGCTCCTCCTGCAGGGTGTGGAGCTCCTCCATTTTCAGGTGGGCCTCGTGGGCCCCCTGCTCCTGTAGTGCCCCTTCCTGCTCTGAGCACTGCAGCAGCTCCTGGACGTGGGCCCTGTTGAGGGCTTCATTCTGCTCCTTAAGTTGCTGCACAAGGGCCTTGTGCTCCTCCAGAGCTGCCTTGGTCACGCTCAGCTGGCCCTGCACCTGCTCTTGGTCACCCAGGGCTGCCTGGAGCTTGGCCCGAAGGTCCACCACCTCAGCCTGCGCTCGCTGAGCCTCCCCCTGATGGACCTCTAGCTGCGCCTGAGACAGGGCCAGCTGCGCGGCTAGCTCCTGAGACGCATTCTCTTGAGGTGGGTTGAGCCCCTCTTGGCCTTTTTCTGCAGTGAGGGTCTTGATCAGCTGGGTCTGCTGCTGGCACTGGCTCTCCAAAGCCCTAAGCTCCCCTTCCCGGGCCTCTGCCAGCTGCCGGCCCTGCTCCATCTGCTCCCGCAGCTGCTGGCACTCGGCCTCCTTGCTCTGCAGGGCAGCCTCCTTCTCTGCCACATGAGCCCTCATGGTCTCCTTGGCCTTCTTCACAGCCAGGAGGCTGGCCTCCATCTGGTCACCCATGTGCCGGATGCTGGCTTGCTCTGACTCCAGGGAAGCCAGGGAGCCCCGGATGGCCGCCTCCCGCTGCTGTAGTGCCTGGTAATCAGCCTGCAGGGTCTGCAGCTTGTCCTCCAGGAGCTGGTTGCGCGCTGCCACACTCTGCAGCTCCTTCTCCAGCGCCCTGTTGGCCTGCTGCAGCTCCTCCTCCTGGCTGCTCCCTTGCATCTTGGCATCATTCACCGGTCCCTCCTGCTGGCCTCTCTGCTCCTCCGGCGTCTCCAAGGCCTGTTGCAGGGTGGAATCCTGTGGGGCCAGAGTCTCATTCTCCTCGCCTGCCAGAGGCAGGCCTGTGCCTGACTGCCCTGCCAGCCGCTCCAGTGTCCCCACCTTCTCACTGAGGTGGTCTTTGTCCCGGATGAGCTGCTTCTTCTGCTCCTCCAGGTCACTCACATGCTGGCTCACCTGTGCCAGCTGAGTCTCCAAGAGTTGCAGCTGCCATATCAGGGACCTGGCCTCTCCCTGCAGCAGCTCTTTCTCCTGTCGGTGCCGCTTCTCCTCCTGCCTCACCTCTGCTAGCTCTTCCTTCAAGGAGCTCAAGTTGGCCTGGGCCTCCTGTAGCTGCCGCTGGAGCTCGGCTGCCTCCTGCCTCTTCCCGGACATCTCCTCCTGGAGTGAGGCTGTCTCTGCCACGAGGCGCTCCAGGCGGGCCCGGGCCTCCTCCTTCAGCTGTAGCTCATTGGCTAGCTGCTCCAGCCGGGCACTCTGCTGCTTGTTGAGTTCCTGGGCCTTGGTGCTCTCCCGCTCTAGAGCTCGAAGCTTCTCCCCCAGCTCCTGGATCTCCTGGACGGAGGCACTGGGGATGCGTTCCTGCTGCCCCTTTGTGTCCAGTGTCACTTCTGCCTTCTGTTCAGCTGTGCCTGGAGGAGCTGGGACACTAGCTAAAAGCTGGTTCTTCCTGCCCAGCAAATCCCGGGTGGCCTCAAGCTCCTGGGTCAGCAGCTGCAGCATGGACTCCAGTTGCCGCAGGGCCGCGCGGTGATCCTCATCCTTCTCTGCGGCGCCCAGCTCCAGGGCCTGCAGGCACGTTTGCAGCTCCTTCACGGTGTTCTGTGTGGCCTGGGTGAGCTCCAACTGCTTCTGGAGCTCGGCCACTGTGAGAGTGAGACGTATGTTGTCCTGGGCGGCAGAGCGACCCCTCTCCCTCTCCATCTGCAGCTGCTCTCCCTGAGAGGTGACAGCTGCCCTCAGCTCCTGGTTCTCTCTGTCCAGCTGCTGTATGCGCTCCTGCAGTTGCTTCTCCCGCACCTCCAGCTGGTCCAGCTCCACCCGCATCTCATCAAAGCCCTCCAGCGCTTCGTTGTTCAAGGGGCTGTTCAGGTCAAAGCTGGAGGCCATATCCTGAGTCTGCAGAGGTAAAACAAAAAACAAGTGGCTTTGGGGTGAAACCGTATGGGTATTTGGAAAAGCTTTAGAGTTTAATGAGAACAGAAAGAAAAATAGAGCAATTATATGACCTTAGGTGAGTTGATCGAGCTATTCAAAGAAAACCCCTTCGCTCACAGCCCCTGCTGGCAGCACATCCTAAAAACCCAATGCCACACACAAGCTCCCCTGACACTTAGAACTCGTATTTGCCACTGAGCCTCCTGTAGCTTTAGTAGCATAAAGGATGTTGACTCTTAAATAACTTACATTGTATTTTAAACTACTATTCACCATTGCACTATATCTACAACTCCTATTGTGATTAAACCACAAAATAGGGTAAAAAGTGTAGTCAATTTTATACTCTTAATGCTGCTTGATTACTTTTACTGTGTTTTGTTGGTTAATTTCAGTGTCCTTTCCCATAAAACTATACACAGCTATGACGGTCACATTTCTAACAAAACGAACCCTCCCCACTAACATCTAATGAGCACTTGCTGCGTCAAGCCCTCACACACAGTTCACATGCTCCTTTATTCAATCCCCACAACCACTCCATCAGCTACGGCGATTTTACGCTCCCCACTGAATGGGCAAGAGAGCTGGAGCTTCCAGAGGGTCGGTCACCTTCCAGAGGCACACAGTTGGTAGGTGACAGCTGGATCTCACTCTGTTGCTTTTAACCATAGTGCTAAACTGCTTCTTTTCAAATATTTTAAAAGCTTTGAAAAGCACTGACTTTTTATGAGGCCTAAGTCCTACTGGGTTATAAAAACCTGGGCCCTAGAAAACAGTGGGAATAACTGAGGGCTTGTGTTTGCTCTGGTTGGAAGGACAGGTGTCGGGAGCATCACCCCGAGCTGCGCGGGGAAGGACGGGCCCAGCTGCGACGGGCGTGAGGGAGCTGCTGGCCCTCCTGGCATTACCTGCAGGTAGCTGCTCACCAGGCTGCTCATGCTGGAGCTGCGGCTGGGGGGCTTCCACATGTAAGCGGACGAGCCGGGGGACAGCGTCCTCCTGCGGGGCCACAGAACAGACATGCCTGTGTCAGAGCCGGAAACACATGCGCGAAAACCAGGTGGGGGCAGGTGGGATGTCCCTGTCAGAGAGAGTGTGAAAAGACAAACCCAACAGTTTCCACCAAAGAGCACATTCACCCTGGTCTGTAGCAAATGGACTCCATTGCTAAAGTTGACACATGATGGCTTCCTCCCAGTGTCAAAAAAGAACTAAGCGAACACAGTGTTTCCCAATTCTTGGTTTAAATTTTCCTTAACTTGCAATGCCTGCCACCGTTGGCCTGCTGGTGAGTGACCAAGCAGTCAACCTGGTAACTAAACGTTGCATTGTGCTTAGGGGCTCATGGTCCTCGCTCCTCAGACCTGCTTCTAGCTCAGGTCACCGCAGTGGCCAGTGCGGGCACAGAACCCTCCCCCCACTGCAGAGAGTTCTACCTGACAGCCTAGCAGTGCAAAGGCCTGTGTGAGAATTCCCATTTAGTGGGAACAGTGCAGACTGAACACCTTTCTCCTTAAGCAGAATCTTCTTTATCTACAAGTTTAAAACTGCTGGTCTCCACAGCCCAGCAATTCTACTTCCCAGCACCTACCCTAAAGACAGGCACCCACGTATGCACACAGGGGACATACGGGGGTGTTCTTGGCAGCACCGCCTGTAATGGTGGGGGCAGCACAACCAGCCTAACTCGGTATCCCTAGGGCAACAGACAAGCTGGCTCATGCACATGGCAGAATACTCCACACCAGGGGCCGGCAATCTTCTGTTAGAAAGGGCCAGAGGTGAACATTTTGGGCTTGCAAGCCTTATGGTCTCTGCCAAGACTCAACTCTGCCAACTGTAGCATGAAAGCAGCCACAGACTCTCTGGTTGTTACACACCGCCCTACGGGTCCCAGTTGCTGACCCTACTCCACATCTATAGAAATGCAGCCCTGACTGGTGTGGCTCAGTGGGTTCGGCGTTGTCCTGCGAACCCAAAGGTTGCTGGTTCGATTCGTGGTCAGGGTGCATGGTTGTGGGCCGGGTCCCCAGTTGGGGGTGTGCCAGAGATAACCAATCGACGTTTCTCTCCCTCTTTTTCTCCCTCCTTTCCTCTAAAAATTAATAAATACAATCTTTAAAAACCCACAAACTGCATGTGCCAGTATGGATAAAAATATTAAAAACGATGTGGAATGGAAAAAGCAAGTTGCAAAGGGATAGCTGTCTCATGACTCAAAAAGTACGCAAATTAAACTGTATATATAAAAAATATTTATGCATACAAGTGTGGTAAAATCATTCTTGCCTGACTTATCAATGAATGCTAAAACTAACAGATGAAAAATTAAAAGAACCAGGAGAATAACCTAATCTCTGAGTATCTTACCATGAGACACATAAGAATCACAATGGGAGAAACAGCCACTTTAGAAGAAACCTGGCAAACACCGCCTTAGCCAAAGCATCATGGTTAACTGAGCTCATAATGAAACAAAACCATACCATGTGTCCCCAGATGTAATGTGCTGAGGAGGACATGACGTCTGCGGCATCCTGCCAAAAACGTTCCACCTGACACTAACACGGAGGAAACACTAGCAAACTCTAATTCAGGAACATTTTACAAAATAACTGACCAGTACTTTTCACAAATGTATGCTGTGAGAAACAAAAACTGAGACGCTGTTCCAAATTAAAGAGACCTGTTCCAAATTAGAGACACGACAGTAACTGCACCGGGTGATCCTGGATTACATGTGTAAAGGATATTATCAGGATAATTCTTAGTATTTACATAGGGTCTGTAAATTAGATAGCACTACTGTATCGATGTTAGTTTCCTGATTTTAATAATGGTACTGAGGTTATGTCCTTGATTTTAGGAAACACACACTGAAGAGTATTGGAGTAAAGGAAAATCAAGTCTAACTTACTCTCTAATGGCTTAAGAGATAAACCAACATGTGCAGGTAGAAGAAGAAAACTCTCCTGGTAAAATACTGATAATTGGGGAATCGAATTGAGGTGAATAGATGAATATTCTGTACTACTTTTGTAGCTTTTCTGTAATTCTGAAATAACTTCAAAATCAGTAAGTTACCAGAAAGGACATGTGATATATATATGGCAAAAGGTTAACTATTCGATTGTACATGGGTATCATTACAGTCAGTACTATTCTCTACGTAGAAAATATGTCCTAATATGAAATATGAAGACTCATATTTTAAAAGCCTCATTAACAGAAAGTACAACAAAGAACGCGGAACTGGAGCCTGGCGCCGGCCCTGCTGCGTGGGCCCTGCTGCGTGACCGCGGGCGCATCCCTCCTCTCTGAGCCTGTGCCCTCCCCCTCCCCTCCCCCCTCCCTCCGCAGTGGGGTGGCGACTTAGATGGATGAGTGCCATCCTGGTGTAAAAAGTGAAAACGCTGCCCAGCGCCCCGCACCTGGATGGGCTGCAGCTTTCACTCCCTCCCTTCCTGCCCATGAGGCCTCCCCGATAACTCTCTAAGGACATGAATGGGAGAAAGCCCACCTGCTTCTCCCCAGACTTGCGCACCAAGCCCCTTCCCCCATTTAAAAACCTTGGGTTTCACATATGCATTTCCATAGACTCATACCACCTGGCCAGTCAGGGGAGCCAAAGGTTGGCGCCTTCAGATGTTATTTTGAGTCACAATTTCAACAAAGTCTGTAAAATTAAGAGGACTGAGAGTTGTAAAGCTTTATATATTTACTGAGCAAACAAAAGTGCTTTGACTAGACTGCTGGTGATCTTCAAAATTCCAAACATCCCTCCCCCGTCTTTTAAACCGAGCAATTCTTCAAAATACCTGGCAAACGTCGGCCAGGCAGCATCTAAGTCGTAGCCCCTGGACGCCAGGTCAAACTGAACGTCAGTGAGCTCGTAGAGCTGGCCCACAATGTCAGAGCTCAGCCTTGGCTTCAGAAAGGGGCTTCTTTCATAGTACCAGTCACTGCAGGGAGACAACAAGGTACAGATTACAAGACTAACACAGGTAAGGAAAGAGTGAATTTAATCGGTCCTCTCAGTATGCCTTGGTCTCACCCAATTCTAACTCAGGGTGCTAAATTAAACACACAGACAGACTTGGTCTGATTTCCCATCTGATTTCCACTGCAGGAGCACGTAACTTTCCAGTAAGCTGCACTTCTTCACAGAAATTGCTGAGATGAACTAGATATTTATACGTTTATTATTTCTATCATAGCTTTTCCCAAAAAGGATATGAGAAACCTTAAACCTCAGTCATCTGCCAAGAGAGGGTAGCTGCAGGGGAAAGGACACTTCCTTTGTGAGAGGTAAATAACCTAATCTATTCCTGCTGGAGAATTCAATACAGGACAGCGAACTCACTGCTAATTTCTGTCTTGACACCAATTTAAAAGACAAAGAACAAAAGCTCTGCCCTGTGTGTTGTTGGGTGCTTCCTTCCCTGTAAGCAGGAGTTTAAAAGGACAACACCTATGAGTTTAAAGGGCTTCTGGGCTGAGACTGTGAACCACGGTGCCCGGGAAGCCAAGCTGCCTACGGTGGTTTTCACTAACCTCTAGGACAAAATAACCTACAGATCTAACATGTTCTCGCAAATCATGTGAACTTGCAGAGCCCGTCACACGTCACGTGCCTGAGAAATACACCTTTATGTAAGTTAATCTTAAAGGTGACAAAATGAAACAGAATATTTTCTGCCAACAGTTCTTTTTGAAAAAATTCAGAAGTGATTTCTTTAACTGGAGGAGCGCTCCCTCGGGATGGGGGCAGGCAGAGCTGGAAAGGGGTGCTGGGCAACCCAAAAAGGTGCCTGCCTGACCTGCGGCCCCCGGGTGACTGCCTCTCCCCACCTGCTCCTCGCGCGCGATCCCTGCCCCCGCCCCCGGCTTCATCGCCAGTGGCACAAAGGCTCCCCAAATGGCCGTCCATCTTGTTCCCAGGGAGCCCCGCCGTGCCCGGCAGGGACCATCTCGGTGTCTGGGTCACCTCAGCGGGGCCCAGGCTCAGTGGTGTTAAGAAGCCCGCAGGGGATTCTGCTGAGAGGCCAAGGCTGCAACCCACTGGTGACCAATGGGGCGTGTCCCTTCACTAGTGCCAGCACCAAGGACAGGCCATCCCCCAGCGACAGCCACTGGGCGATAGGAGCAAAGCCAGCCAGCCCCCGGCTCCTGCTGCGCGACTCAGACTCGGCGTCGGGCAGGGCCCAGAGGAAGGCATTTGGCGCCCCTCTGAGCCTCGCATCGCTTACCCGTGAGCACCCACGCTCTCGGCCCCGCCTGTGCCCAGGGCTGGGTGGGGAGGGGAGAAGAGGACCACAGGCCTGGAAGGGCTCTGCCTGGCCAGGGTGTGCCACGGAGAGGCGCTGAGGCCGCAGCTGTCATGATTAACCCGGGGACCTCAGTTCACCTGGGGGCCGCCCGGGGGGTCACCTGGCACCGTCATGTACGCACCTGGTCACTTTGGTGTTCATGAAGCACTGCTGTAAGGTGTCGGCCAACCTCTGGTGCACCAAGGAGTAGCGAATAAATGCTCTTCCTTTTCCCAGAGATGTTCGGAGCTGGAAAAAGAAGGTCACACAGAAATGAAGAACTGTCAGCCTAGGTCTACCTAGTCTCCCGGCCTCACAGATGGCCTGCATCAAGCAGAAATGGGGCAAAAAACTCCACCAGTTCTACCTATGCATTGGCTTCATTCACGCCCCTCACAGGACACAAAGCATTGGGTGATGTCACCCCTGAGAGTGAGGCCTGCGGTGGGTCAGCGTCTTCCAGGCCTCCATCCAAGGATAATCCACAGACTCCAGCAAACGTGTTAAGAAAGATGTATCCACGGGAGCCTCTCCAGCATCTGCGATTCCATGGGATGCTGCTGTCCCCCCTCTACCCCATCAGGTCCTCTGGGTCTGGAGTCAGAGGAGAGCTGTACCATTTAATTTGGGGTATTCAGAATAAAGCTTGAAGGCAAATGAGGGGCTTTGCACACCAGAAGGGAGCTTGAGCGAGAGCTGGTCTCATGAGGCTCATGTCTGGGCTGTTGCGGGGCGTTGGGAGAAGGAATGCGGGGGAAGAGGCCTATGGGGCTTGGCTGGGGTCCGTGTGGAGGGGGAGTGAGGAGGGCAAATGGCAGCGGCGGGTAAGGGAGACTTTAAGGAAGTTTTGATGGGGGTGTAAACCGCCTCCTCTGCGTTCTCATCAAACCATCGGTAAAATCCACACATGTTAACTTTCCCGGTGGGCTGTTTTTTCAGCTACACCAGCTCACTGCACTTGGTCAGAAGGTGCCGAGGGGCTGAGAGCAGGGGCGTCTCCAGGTGGCCGGGCCGCACTGGGTTAGTGGAAAGGCGGGCATGGTTCTATTTCAGAGAGTGTGAGACGGACAGAGGGCCCAGGTGCAGGCCTGTCTGCGAAACCACTCCCTACCATGCCAACGCGCGGACGCTCGTTGTGATGAAGATGGGGTGTGCTGGTCAGAAACTCCGCCAGCTGCAGACACAGCCACCGAGACACCTGGGATCAAGGGATCCGCCACAGGAGACATGTGAGACCAGTTTGTAAATCAGGATTCGGATTGCCCATACCCCAGCCAAAGAAGATCAAGCACCTTTCAAGCCAGGGCTGTACGACTTCTTGCTGATGACTCAAGGAAACGATAAGCACAACATGAGGTTGTTTTAAGAAATAAAAAGCTGCGAAACCCCCAAAATTGTAAAGGCTGTAAGATATTTTTCCATGCGAGTTTTGTGGGCTTGGGGTAAAGTCAAGATGCTGGAGATGAAGTCGGGCGGCAGCCTGACCTCGGGCTTTATAAAACCCTCCGGGGCATGTGTGCAGACGGGCGGCCACGGCAGATGCCCAGGGAGAATCCCAGGGGCGCCCCAGGTCCACAGATACTTTTGCTACTGATGAGCGAGGTGAGAACAAAGTGTCCAGTGGTGACAACCAGGAAAGTCGGGCAGCCGAGAACAGCTGAGCCGGGCACAATGACGCGGAGCGTGACAGTTGCACAAACACGCACTCACACAAGGCCCCACGAAACCAAGTGGGAACCTCACAGAACAGCCCATCTAGGGGCTCCCAAGTGAGCAGCTTGTCTTTATTAGCAAAATGGCCACGGTAACAGCATTTAGCATATTTAATTTTTTAATGCAAAACGTGAGTCTATATTTTTAATCAGACCTACTGACTGATTTTATATACTTATATAAAAAGAGCTCTTTATCTTAAAAGGTCTTTTTAAACATCCCTTGGCAAAGAAAACAGTCGTTTTTTTGTGCTTTGTACAAATGAAAATATGGCACAGCCTTTTCACTTTCTATTTTTTGAGATCACGGGTCCGCTTTCATTACCTAATTCCTGAAATGCTTTAGCATTTAATCAGAACTCACATGCTCTATATTGGGAAGCGATACAGCAGCAGCAAAGGACAGGAAGCCTGCAAGGTACATGAGAACGGACTGTGCCTTAGGCCAGGTCACTGTGCCAGGGGCCTGGTGCCAGGCTGCCCCCAGCTCTGCTCGGGCCCTGGCGGTGAAATGCCCACAGTCCAGGCCGAGCCCCTGTGAGCCTTCGGAAGTGGCTGATGAGGCCTTGGACTGCTGTGGTCCCAGTGGCTGCCTCCACCCCAAAGGGGCAGAAGGGGCCCAGCAGCGCTTCTTATCCATTAACTTCTACCTCCTGGCTTATTGGCCTGGCTGGCACTTGATTACTGTTTCAAGGTGACCCAAGTATCTAGCAGCCCAGCTGGCCTAGTGATATCCCAAGCCATTGTGCCCAGTGTTCCCCCAGAGAGCAGAGCCATCAACGGATGAGACAACCGGACTCTATGGGAAGTGGAGCCTAGGCCAGCCACCCAAACCCCAGCAGTGTTTGTGCAAGCAGGGAATGCTCCTGCTTCTAGGAGACAGTTTCTCCGGCCTTGACAGGTTTCACTGCATTGTGAGAAAAGGCTCAAGTAGATGTAAGCATTTTGTTACCCTGGGCTTTGGCTGTTGCAAGTCAGGGAGTCGAAGGCTTTGGTTGCCGTCAGGAGTGGAAGAGACAAGAGTGGCGGTGAGAACTCCCAGGGGCACGGAGAAGAGGGCACCCACGGGCACCCCCTGCAGGGCTACGAAGCATCAGACACCAGTCTACACAGTGGCCCTGAGTGTCCCACCAGGCAAGATCCCATGAGACCCGTCTGCGCTACACGGACATTAACGAAATTGGCAGGACAAACTCCTCCGAGCCAGGACCCTGCCTCATGAGCTCAGATCTCACAGGGGGCAGCTGGCGGAGAGTGCTCAGCCCTCAAGGTCAGCCCGCCGCCCTGGGCCTGTCTGTAAGAAGAAACCCATCTGGCTCCCGGGTCAGGGAGGAATTCGTCCCAGAGCACCTGACCCTGTGGCTTTTGCAGGAGGCCAGCCACGGAGCATGAAGGCACTTCAGAGTGTCTTCAAACTTACAGACAAGATGCTGAAAGAGAAATGTTCAAACCCTTTAGACCTCCTGTCCTAAATCGAGGGGGTTACTTGCTCCCTAATGTGTACAGCTCTTTACTCCCAGATGGACCAGGCTTTGAGAGAAAAAGATTTGTCGGGAGTGGGAGGTAGGGGAGAGGCAGAGTGAGAGAGAGAAAGAGAGGTCATCCTGGAGTTTTGTAAAACAGCTGGGCCACGGCATTGTGCTCTAGGGACTCGGAACGGAACATGGGCAGCTGCTTGGCACACCAGCACTGTAGTGTCTCTTAAGAGCTCACATTACTCTCTGCACTTCAAATCCAAGTTTTCTGGAAAAGCTGTAGGGACAGAAGCCTAACAAACACTAAGAATTCTATCTAAGAAACTGACTTTTTAAAAAAAATGCCTCGTACCTCGGAGGGGCACCACGGGCAGCCTGCAGCGCGGACGGCCCGCCCTGCCCGGTACCATGCGGGTCGCCGTCTAACCACAGAGCCAGGGCGGGGCCGTCGTCGGCTCGGGAGACACTCACAGAGGGGGCTTCCCTGAGCTGACGGTGGGCGCTGGGTGTGCTGGACCAGCTTTCTTCACCTCATTACCACCTGTAAACCCCCTTCCTCATTTGACTGTCTGCAGCAAAGGTCTCTGCAAGAGATGCTTATGGCGGGTGAGAGGAGGACATGAGGCCCGTGGTTGCTCTGCTCACCTCCGAGATGGACTTGACGAACCGGATGCCGTCGTTGGCTCCTTTCACCTTGGCCAGGCAGGCGCAGAAGTAATCCCAGTAGTCCTTCTTGCTGCCCAAGAGGGTGGCCTTCTCCTTCTGATCGAACTGGGAAGGGAAAACACAGAGACAGGTGGTCCAAAACACTGCCGTTCATCTCATTAAGTGATAAATGATAACACTGGTTTCTTAGTTGCCTGGCGCTGGGTAAGGCCCTTGACTGGCATTATTTTTATTTATTGTCAAATGAGTGTTTTCATCCCCAATTTACAAATAAGGAAACTGAGGCTAGGAGACGTTAAGTACCTAGCTTGAGGCCATATGGCTAGTAAGATTCAGGAATAACAGCAACCGCCCCCAAAATAAAGATTTATGTCTTGAAGGGACCTCTGTGCAGAGCTGAGTGGAAGACCACCAAAGTTGCTATTAACTACTTTGATAAAGATACGTGACACCTTATGATAAATACGAGTGTGAAGTCTTAAGGGCGACATGAAGAGTGCTAACTATGTCTCATCCCAGGGAAATGAGTTAGTGACACTTTACCCCAGTTACTCAAATGTCAATGTTTAATATATGAACAGTAAATTCAAATAGGTGCCAGTCATGAGTCATTTCAAATCCAAAACCAAAATGAGCTACATGAGGGGAAAAAAAGGTCCACAAATATCTTCACCGTGTGAACCAGAGAAGCAGGTGAAGAGGCAGGGACGGTGGGGCCTTCACCACGTCGGGGCCGTCGCCTCCGGCGGGCTCGCGTCCTATGTACTTTGGGGGGATGTGATGATGCCAACTAATGAGGGTCAAAATGTACTGGGATATCTTTCTATAACATAACATAGCATTTTATGGCTTTCTTTTCTGATTATGTATATACTGTTAGGCAATCTGGAGAGAACCCCTCAAAAAAACAGAAAAGAAAAAATTATAATGCCCAACGCCACCACACCAAGCTTAACTTCTGTTAACATTTTGGTCCATTTCCTTCCTGTTGTAGTTGCCTGTATTTTTCCACCTCTGCAGAGTTCTCTAGACCTGTGCACTTGAACCAAGCACACACAAGCATTATGCTGTGGGTGTGTTAAAAGAAAAATTCCATCTTGGGCTGACCTCAGAGACCCCGACGCGGGAGGTCGGAGTGGGAACAAAGAACACATCCCTAATGTGCTCCCAGGGGACGTTGACACTGCTGTCTGTGGACCTCATTTTGAGCAGCACGGCTCTAAAGCAGGCGTCTGGACAATCTTCAGAGAGACCACAGGCTCCTGGAAAGTGTGTTACTGGTTGTGCACACATATGCATATCTGTTTGCAGAGAGATTGTATAGCTTCCACCAGATTTTCAAAAGGGGACGTGACTGCCCCAAAGTTAAGATCTGCTATACAGGGACCTTCTTACTTGCCTTAAGTTGACTTAAATCACTAAAGAGAATGTTCTGGATTTTCAAAATCAGCCTAAGGGGCAACTTCTGATCCCCCAGAGAATGAATGGCACGCGGAGGCCCCAGCTCTTGAGAGGGCTGCTCCGGCCTCCGGCCCACTGAGCTTTCTGCACCCTGTCCTGAGTGCAGACGAGCCACCCACAAGGGAAACTAAAGACAGCAGAGCAGGAATGAACACACTACAGGAGCCACTTACTTGAAGGAGATACTCAAGTTTGTAAGAAAACTTATGCAAGCTGGTGCTGTCATCTGTGATGGGTTCCCCTGCTTCCTTAAATTCTTTGCTTAGTTCTGTCACAGCATCTTTAAGACAACAAATAGGAACATGTAACCAGATGGAGACGGACCTCAGAGAGAAAAGCAAAAAACCCTGGGAGGCCCGAGGAGCAGGTGGTCAATGATGGCGAAGCACACGGGGAACGTGAGCGCTGTGTCCACATCCATGGGGACGCAGGGCCGAGTCAGGAGGCCCCACGGTGTCCTGAGAGCCCAGTCCTTTGCAGCAGCTCACTGGGTGGGCACATTTCCGGGTCACCCCTGCAGGCCTGCCATGTAGGCTTCTAATCTGCATGCAGGGTTCGGTCAACAAGTATTTGCTGAGCGGGTGAATCGTTCCGCAGGCCCCTGCTACTGGCCTTCAGGAAGCCTTATCCTCTATTCTGGCCATACTGCTTATGGTTCTTCATTACCACCTGACTGCTCAGCACAGGGAAGTGCAGGCTTTAAGAAGACCGAGAACGTGTAAATAACACTAAGGATAATAATGCCAAGAAATGACAACAGCAGTACCTGCTTCCGTTAACTGAGTACCTATGAGGGGCCAGGCCTCTGCAAGTCATTCTCATTTAATGTAGCACCAGGCAGGAATGTAATTACAACAAATCTAAGATGCAATTGATTTTAAGATGATCCCAACTGCTGTTAAAATGTGAAAAAGTACAACGCGGAATTTTATACAGGAACCTTGGCTTCCTCAGGATCTTTCCTACCTCAGAGCACACCCCGTAACTTCTAAGATAACTGACCTCCCTGGGCAGGAAAGGGGGAAAGCTACCTTTGACCCCTATTCTCAGCCTCTGCTACGAGACAGAGGGGCTATGAGAAGCTGGGTTTGGTTTAGAACTTGGAAAAATGTCCCCAGCGGAGGTGGCTGGAGCACGCTGCGAAAAACTACCTCCTTCCCCTGACAAGTGTTACAAGAAAAGGAGTCCACAACCCCGCTCTCAAGCACCGTGGCTCAAGGCAGGTCTGCCCGGTGCTGAGTCTAAGCCACAGCAAAGGGCAGCTCATGGTGGAGACAGGTTCTTGGGACCGAATCTAGTGAGGGATGCCCAGCTGTGCCCTGGAGAAGAGTCGGCTGTGGCTGGCCTTGGTGAAAAGACTCAGGGCCTTCCTTCTCCACCCTCAGGCTGGGTTAACGCTCCCAACCTGGCCTGGGAGCTCCTGAAATTTTGAAAGAGACTTTTTTCAAAGAAGCATCAAGATTTTAGCACCAATTTCTGATAACGCAGATGCGTTGCTTGTGGATCTCTTGTTTTCCCATCAATTACACGTGTGCTCTGCCAGCACGCGAGAAGTGGGCGTCATCACCGTCCTTCCCCACACAAGAAGGAAGCGACCTCGCCTTGGAAAGGTGGAGGGACCTGTTCGACATCTTCCAGGGCTCAAAGGCGGAGCCACGCGCTGACCCGCAGCCTGCCTGACACCAAAGCCGCATAACTGCGTCCCCAGGAGAAGCAGGCTGCCTGCAGAGGTGTGAGGGCCGGGCGCCGCACCAGGACACCTCGGCCAACGGTGCGCCGCTCTCACGGCAAATGCCGTCCATCTCTTGGGTGCTTGTTAAGACACCTACCAACGGATGGAAAGAAAGGGTCTTGAGAATGTGGTGCCTTTTAAGAATCCCCACCGAGGTGCTCCGTGGGCTGGGTATAGGACCCGAGACGGCCTTGGGATGTCGGGGAGGACCGGAAGCAGCCAGAACACGGGCTGGACGAGGGCAGCTGAACCAGTGCTGATGCCAGGGCTCCCCTCTTCCTCCCAGCGAGGAGCTGCGGGTTCCGAACCAGAGACTGAGCGGAGAAGGCTGCCTACGCTGTGGAGAAACCTCCCAAGGTCAGCGGCAGAGACTGGCATTTCACCTCCTCTGTACACACCTGTGTGTGTGTGCAGGTTTTTTAAAAGCCTACAATACTTTAGCTGGAAGGAGACTGGTGTGGTTACGAGCAGAGTCTGGAACCGGGTGTGTGTGGAAACCAGACTCTGCGGGACTGGGTGTGCGTGACCTTGGGAAGTCCCTGACCCCCTCTATCTGTTTCCACATCTGCAATGTGGGAATAATGAGGGGTCCTACCTCAGGGTTAAACATGAGGACTCAGTGATTTATTATCCATAAGACACATGTAAGACAGTGCCTGGCATGTGTGAAATGCCATGTCATTATTAGCTATTAGAGGCCCAAAGAGCTACAGAAACAGGGCATAAGCCTGAGAAAGTGATTTTCATGTCATCGACTGCGACCTTCAGAATGGGGACTGTATCGTGGCCTGGGGGCCCTGGTAGAAGAGACTGCAAGTGGTCACCGCTGTGTCTGAGCAGCCAGAAACCTGGGCCATCAGTCTGTCCAGAGAGTGTCACTGCGGGCTCTGTGACAGGAGGAAGCGGCGAGCTGCAGACTGTTACAGGGCACACGCTGGAGCTCGGGAGGGGCTTAGAGGACCATGGCCGGAGGAGCGGAGGTCGGCCGAGGCTGCGGCCAGCAGGGAAGGCAGCCCCCACCGCGCCTCGCAGGCACCCTGCGCCCCGGGCCTCTCTCCAGGGAGGGGCCGCACGGGGGTCTCTCTCACGGGGCGAGGCTGCCGGGGAGGCTGCAGGCCCACAGCTGGGGCGCATCCAGAAGAGGCCATCTCCCCACCACCAGAGGGTGAGACAGCAAAACAAGAGCAACGGGTGTCCAGTCTTCCTGCTCAGAGGAAGGACGGCATTCTCCCCCAACTCCACCAGAGCCCACCGGGATTCAGCCAAGAAAGCATGCGCGCGCACGCACACAGAGAAATCAGACCCGGACCCAGAGAGGGGTATTTGATTCTGTTTACAAAGTGCCTTTACGGGGCCCTGCAGGGAGGGCCAGCAAGCTCTCCCAGCCTCACAGGAGGGACACCTGAGCCCCGAACGTTCGGTGTGCTGTATCCTGAGGGCTCCAGTGACCCCCAGGGTGAACACAGAAGGAAGGGCTGGGCTGCAGCGGGCCACAGCAACAGCACAGTCACGGCGCCCTCCAAACCGAACCCGCCAAGCCGGGTGGCCTAGCCCTACCTTGCAAATCGCGGATGATCCTCTGGAGCTGGCTCTCCGTGCTGGGGGATGCCATGGCGACTGGCTGCGGGCCACCTGTCTTGGCAGCGCACCTCCTGCCTGAGTCTGGTCAGCAAAAGTCAGACTCCATGGGGGCACCTATGTGAGGGAGAAGGAGGCGTGGAAGAGGCAGTCACAGACCAGCGTAGAGACAGGAGACGAACGCTGCTCCGGGCGCAACGTTGCCCCATCTGGGCATCTTCCTGCAACGGGAAGGGCTTGGCCCTTCTGTGTGGGCCTTGCTCTGTGGGCATTCCCTGGTTGGCTTCTGACACACTTATTCCAACACAATGACCTGGTCTGGGCCTTAAAAAGAAACAAAAGCAACCCAATTGCGTGGCCCAGTCTTTGTGAGCTCCCCTCCTAATGTGCCCTCTTAGCACTGCCTCACTTTCTACCTTTAAAAATGCCTCCCTGTGGCCCCCCTATACCCTCAAAACCAAGGCCGGAACTCATCGAGCCCCTCCCAGGTCACTGGCCTGCCAGCACCAGACCCCTACCCCCACCTCCTCCCTAGGATCGCTTTCTCTGAGGACTGCGCAGGGGCAATGGGTGAGGGGCTGGGGACACGTACCCTCGGGGCTTCTGGGCCAGGAGAGCCTGCCTCGGCTCTGGGGCAGCGGCTCCCTCGGGGGAGGTCTGCGGCTGCAGATGCCCGGAGTCCGGCTCTGCCTGGGTGCCAGTCAAGGGGCACTTCTATTTTAAGCTCAGTTACTGTCCTCTTGCCACTGGTGAGTCCTCAGTTACCAGCCCTACTTGGGCAGCTGCTGAAGTGATTTAAGGACACTGTAGTGGCCGAACCCAACAAAGATGAGGTGATATGAGCAGCGCTGAAAAGAGGCCTGGCACGCATTCGAACACTCGCATGTCCTTTTCTCAGAACCTCTCATTCTTTCCTTAGATGCCCCACGTAAAGTTGGAATGTTTGCCGGCAACGCAGCTGCCAAGACTAGAGGTGCCCATCGGAGCGGCCACCACCACATGAGGACCTACTATGTACTGGGCCCACGTGATCATTTTAATTCCCACAATCACCCCAGCAGGATAAGTAATGTACAAAGGAGAAACCGACATTCAGAGGAGTCACGGAACTTGTCTTAGACCACAAACCAGGAGTCCAACTGTGGCTTGAACTACCCTGGTGAGTCTGATTTCACACTCTATGGATTGACAGCTGAGCCGCTGTCACTATGGCAAATGGCCAGCCACTTCCACTGGCTTCCAGGAACCACCCTGCCCCCCAGCCATCTCCCCAACCCTGCGCTGCTACCCTGAGGGCCGTGCGGGCCTCACCTCCTGCGGCCACCTTCCCCTTATTGCTCCGGGAGTCAAGGCAAGAAGGCCCTGGAATAGAAACGGTCACCGACGTCCAGCTCCTCCAAATATTTACGTAAGCATTCCAGTGTCAGCCTGAGTGAGTAGGGCCTGTCACAGGGCGGACAGCCTATTTTTAACTAACAAGCCAGGGCAGCTGTGACTTAGTAAAAATGAGGCCCAGAGAGGGCTGCTCCAGACGAGGAGGGACGGGACCGGCGCAACGGCGCACGCTCCCAGCGACTCAGGGCACGGAGCCCCAGCGAGTCTGGGGGCCCAGAACCCGCCAAAGCTCCCCAGCAGGCGCTGGCACCCTGGCCTCCACAGGCACCAAACTGAGGGCGGTGCCGGTTACAAGAAGCCAGTCCAGCCAGCCCCCATTCACACAGCCTGACCAGGCCCTGGAGAGGCTGGCGCCCAGGCTGGGCCGCGCCTCCGCGGGGGCTCTGCTGCCCAGGGAGACCCTTCGGCCATCCTGGCGAGGGAGAGGATCAAGGGTCATCACTGTCGGTGCACAGCTGCCCTGGCCCCACACTCTGTCATGTGCCTGCTATGTGTGGGCTGGGGAAACAGAGGCAAGCGAGGCCCAGCCCGGCCCTAGGAGCTCAGCTGTGCACCAAGGAGACAGAGAGAAAGCTATCCAGGTGTCAAGATACGACGGAAGAGGTCCATGCAGATGTAGGGATAAAAAGTGATGGGTGCTCAGCAGTGCCCAGGAACGAAGCACAGATACACACGACAAGTGCCGTGCATCGAGTGAAGGAAGCTGGACTGAAAGACTATGCACTTTATGATTCTATCTGCAGAGTCTTGCACAGGCAAAACATCCAGGAGCAATCAGATCACCGGCTGCCTGGAGCTGGGGTTGGAGGGAGGCTTGGACTACAAAAGAGTATGCAGAAACTTGGGGGGGGGGGCAATTCTGTTCTATCTTGGTTGTGGTGGTGGCCACAGGACTGCAAATAGCTGACAAACATATTTTGAGCTGTCAAAACTCACACACTGTAAATGACAGCTCCGCCAGAACAGCTGCACTGTGATGCATTTAGAAAGCTGCATGCGGTGGGCCAGGAGGAAGGGAAAGTTAATTCTGCCTGGGGAAGTGAGAGCAACTGAGTTGGGCCAGGCCTGAAAAATGGGCAGGAGGCCTTCAGAGACACAAGGTGGACAGGGTGCAGGGTGAGGGTGGGGGGTCCAGAGAGCCTGTTTCTCTACCTGTGTTTCTCTTTTTTGAATGTTGTCAACACAGAGAGCCTTGTAGCTTCTCGGAGAACTAACCTTGGAGGAAGATGACTAATAGCCCATGAGTCCTGAAAGGAAGCCTGCTGGGTTTGTGTGTTTACTTACAGTACCGGTAAGACGTGCACACAAGGGAGAGGAGGGTGTAGCTTGGAAGGAAGTGACAACAACAGATCCTGAGCTAACTAGCAGGCTCTGGCCAGGACAATGCGTGAACTATACAACCAGCTGGATTTCCTAGAAACCAGCCCTCTTTGGAGCCTGGCATGCGGGAACAACATCTGTAAATCAAACTGGCGTCTTGGCATGATGAGCCTGAACGCAGACATACGCATGCTGCTTCAGGACATCTTGGCGCTTTGGTGAAGCTGCCCTTGTGTGGGCCCGAGCCCAGGAGGCCTTCTTTGCCTGACCCTAGCAATGTGCTCAGTTGAAGCCAAGCCCTCGGGTCATGGGGTGAGCAGGGCCAGCTGCTGACTACACAGGCTGCTTTTCCAAACAGCCTGTGTCATTGCCGAAGCGATGAGCCCTAAGAAACTGGCTGCTGGGCCTATAGATCGCAGTGGGCTTCCCACCAAGGCTGTCGGTCACCACCTCACAAGGTTTCAGAAAGTCAGAGCCTCCTTGAAAGACACGGTCACTCAGGGATGCTGTTTTCATGGACTTGGACAGGATGTGACTCAGCATCGTGCCCTCCCTCTCCCTTAGTCTGAGGTCATTAGTAACCAATGGGACACAGAGAGGCGCCCTGTCCCTCTCCACACTGCGGTCAGCTTTCTGTGTCTCCCGACAACCTTGTCCTTTGGTTGAGGAATGAAACTTTTTTTTAAACCCATAACACTTCTGACACCCAATGTGTGGCTTTTTCCCACACGGGAACCAATTTTGACACCTGGGTGTCCCACAATTCAATTCAATGCCGCCACTAACCACTTGGGAGAACATTGGGTTCTCTTGTCAATAACTCAAAATTATGTTTAAGCTTAGCCAGAATGTCTGAAACATCTAAGCTTCTGAAAGAGGAAAAGGGACTAAATGCATTTTTTACAATTCTTACTACCTGGGACTACTGCCTGAATATCTAGTCATGGCCTAGGTATTATGTGAGAGGTAAAGGATCTTCCCTCACTTTGAAATTCCTCCTCTCCCTGCCCAGAAGCCTTAAATGACTTAAACAATAGACACAGCAGTTTAGTGCCAAACCAAGATACAAAGACTGACTCATGTAAACTTATTTATGCTTTGGTGTAAATGACTAACATTCTTGTTGCCCAGAAATGGGTTCTGGCAGGAGCGATACAGTATCTGAGTTCCCACATCAGAAATGAAGGATCAGAAAGTGGGTAGGAGGTTTGGGGCCTGAAAGGCAACTTTGCCCAGCCTTCAAAATATATCATACTTGCTCAGTAACGTACTGATAGTAACAACACAAGAACTAAGAACTGACCCAGAGAGGACACCATACAATGGGACTCCGCCCACTCTCAAACAAGGCGGAACATACCAGTTACAAATCCCACCCAGATCAAGGAAGGAGGTTAACAAGTTCATATCAGTCAAAGCAGAAAGCCTTTTTGGATGAGTCCATTGCCCCAGTCTGGTTCAGCCCACCCAACAGCCTCTGTCTCGTTACCATTTGTGGAGAGGGAGCCCTAGGCTGGTACCTGCTGCTTGAAGGCCCACGGTCCTGCTGGCTCAGCACTGGATCGGGTGGTGGGCCACCAGAGCTTCAGGCAGGTGCCCTGGAGACTGCCCAGCAGTTTGTCAGAGGCCAGCTCAGATGGAGACACTGCAGCACACGTGAGCAAAGGCTCATTAGGCAACCCCGCCCTCAGACCTATAATTAAAATGTTGACCGACTGTATGCCTGAGTCATCTTTCCCAAGCACTCCTTCCGGCTCTCAGTCTTCTCCCTTTCTTAAAGGGGAGGAAGACCTGAGACTTGGCTATCTCGCCTTTCAACTTCTCTTGCCGTCCCTCCTTCCCACCAACAGTTTCAGGGTTCTTGGTCGTTCACCCTGGAACACACACAGAACCGGCCCGATTCCAGGCCACTGACCCAGGAGAGCAGGCAAAGGGGAACCTCTGGATGGGAGGTGTTCCTTGTGGGCCTGGGGAAGCTGTTTTTTTAAGAAGGTGGGCTGCTGCTCCCAGAAGGGGCTACACACCAGTACTCAGGGCTGCAGTGCCCCTGGAAAGCGCGAGAAGCATCCAGGAGGCCATGAAAGTGTGTGTGTGGAAGCCTTGGCAGCTTCTGGAAGAGCTGCACCAACAAATGACAGCAACTTGTGTACTTAGCTCCTGCCCCCTAATAACATGGACCCCACACGGGCAGGAAAACAGCAGGGCTCCCACATCATACCCTGGGCGGGGGAGGGGGCGGGCTCAGGCAGCAGGTACCCTGCACGGCCCGACACACCTCCTGCTGGCCAAGCCGGCTTTGCTGGGCACCACCACTGAGGCAGACCTGACCCAGGAGCTGGGGCTGCAGCTGTGAACAAGGCAGCTGAGCCCTGGCCTTCACAGAATTCCCGCTCCAGAGGGCGGAAGCAGACAGCAGGCACCCGATAAGCTTACAGACAGATAACAGAGGCCTGAGAGGCACTTTGGTGAAAACAGGTGAACACATGGGCAACAAATGCTACTCTGCTCAGGATTTGAAGCCCCACTGCAGGGGGGCTCTCCCTTCTTCTACTCTTGTGGCCGTTCACCAGCACAGTAATTTCTTGTTTAGTCTGTCTTTCGCACTTGACTGTAAGCTCCATGGCTATTTATGATTTCCCCAGCACCTCGCACAGTTCTGACACGGAGAGCAGTCAATGAATTACTTACTTACTGAATGAATGAATGAATTAGACAAAACCAAACCATTGACTCCTATTCCACAAAAAGACCTAAACTTTAAGCATAGAAACTTTAAACAATTAATCTTTAGGCATAGAAATGTACCAACCTGTAAATAATGCCAATTTCCCTTCAGTGGTGGGAAATATGGGTCCATCTGCAAAAAATTTCTATTTCTCTGATTTTTCAATTTTCCTTTATTGAGTATGAAATGCTTTTATGTTGACTAAAATAATGCATTTAAAAAGTCAAGTTGTAATTGCAGACATTATATCATCGCCACTGTGGGAATATTATGGAGTTATTATT